GCTCGGGCTGTGTCAGTCGAAATTGGCGCTGTACAGTTGGCTGTGCCCCCTGTTCTAACTCGATCCTATGGTCATGCGCCCGCTGAGGTGGCAGCCCTTGCGGTAAGTCATCCGGAAAGATACCCGGGAACCGTTTCAGTAGTGCCTGTAGTTCGGGCGGTACGGCTGCCAACAGTTTCTGCAAATCACTCGGCTGCTCCTCTTTTTCCAATAGTGCTTTATCCACTACGTACACGTCAGCTCCAGCAGCGACAGCCCGTTTCATCGTGATGGCGTTGACCTGGACCGTCGAAGACTCGGGTGGCTGCCAGCGAGGTAGGACGACCCAGTTACCACTACTTCGCACTGTGCAGCTACCCGTCGTCCAGTCAATTCGTGGGTTGTACCGTCGCAGCCAATCACGTCCCAATAAAATGTCGTGCCCATCCAGTGTCGTTGCGAGCATTTCCTGTGTAAACCCGAAGTTCCCCCCGCAGCGGACTTTTACTCGCTCCACCTTTTCCCGTATAGCCAGTGGCGTGCCGTCGACTAAGCGTGCATCTATCTCAGGTAAGCATCGTTTAAGTGTTAACTGTAGTTTCCGTGCGGTTGCGGTATTAACTAAGCTGTGACTTGCTCCTCCGCCAATAAAAATCTTCACTGCTGCTCCCTGTATTTTCCCGTAGATCAGTACCGGGCAATCCGTCGCTGTACCCTCCTTATTCATCCGAGCCCGATCGATGGCATGAATCGGTACTGTGACTCGGTGAGGGTCGGTGTGGTTGGGCGAGCAGGCAGTCTCGTCAGTAGTTGGCCCAACTTCTACTGACTGTTGGCGTTTCCCTGCCTCTGAGACTCCCTCCCCTGCTCTGCTCCTCAGCGCCTCAGCTCCTCTGGGCATTCGCTCTTGCGATGGCCCGGCCTGTTGCAAGCAAAGCAGCGCCCCTTAAACGGTGCGGCAGCTTCATTCTTTGCGACGGCGTGTACAGTGGCGTGCTCGGTCGGTCCCCGAGGACGATGTCCGTAGTAGGACCCCGGTCTCGGTCGGTGTAGGATGTCGATCTTCTCGGCGAGCGTGAGAATCTCTTTGAAATTAGAGAGTCCGCGCAGCATTATCTCGTGCGAGATGTCCGGCTTCAGCCCCCCGACGTAACGGTCCACCCGCTCCGCTTCGTGCATGTAGCCGACCTGCTCGCAAAGTGCGAGAAAACCGCTGGTATAGTCTTGAACTGACCCGAGCTGGCGCCAAGTGCGCAGTTTCTGACGCGCCGAAATCGAAGCCGCGATCGGCTCAAAGCGCGCCCGAAGCCCTGCGCACCACGCATCCCACGTGCTGTATTGGGCGGTCTCGCAGAACGAACTCCAGGTGACAGCTGGACCCGAGGGCCCTTCCTCGTGCGACGGTGGCTCGTAGGCGCGTGGCGACGTCACGATGACTCGCCACCAGTCCATGGCGGGGCCCCTTAGCAGTGAAACCGCATACCGGATCTTCGCGGCGTCCGACTCGACGTAATTGGCGTCGAAGAAAACGTTCATCGTGAAGAACCACGATTGAACTGTCGGACCGCCGCGTTGGCTTGGGTCGAAGCAGGGCGGGCGTTGCGGCTTGAGCGGCATTGGTGCCATGTTGGAGTGTTCGCCACTTGACGCCGCAAATTCCACGTGCCGACGGACTTCTCGAGGCTCCCGTGGGCGTGGTGCGATCCTGTTTCCTCCCATGCCAGGCATCGGCTGGGCGGCGCCCTCACTGGCTGCGCCTGAGCGTTGTCTTGTGCTGTCATGTTGTGTTGGTGTGCCGGATGAGATGACAATCGGCTCATCCGAATGTGCAGATGCGTTTGTTGGTGCGTGTGATGTTGTTGGTACGTTCACCGTGGACTGTTTACGGGCGGAGTCACGTTCCGCCGTGAGAGTCGCGATTTCGAGCGCCGAGTCCTCCAATTGACGCACGAGACGATCGAGTTGCTCTTGCGTCAATGTGGCGAGCGTGAAATCGGCCATGGAGGGGGTGTCGGGCAAGCTCAGCGAGAGCCTCGATCGTGGCCGTGCGTGCTTGCGAGAGAGCACTACGAGCGGCGGTGCTGTATCGTTGAGAGACGTCTACCCCCCCCCCAAAAAATTGAGATAGTGGGAAGCGAAGGTGTGGATGCGGTCCGAGATGAGATCGTAGGCTCTGATACCAAGTGTTACGAGTGCAATTGAGTGAACGAACGAGAATTGCACTATCGAAGCAAGAGTACAATGAGCGAAGGCATGAGCGAAGAATATATAGCGAAACTACAGTGGTAACGGTAATGGTCGCGCGACGAGCCTCGGACTGAGGTTGGGAAAGTGTCGAAGCGTAGGCCCGGAGCGCGGGTTACCAGCCGAGCCGTGAGGTCGGGATGCGATGTGCGAAAATGGCGGGATGTTGAATGATGCGATGATCGCGAGTGGTAACGGTGCTGACTGAGGTGCTACAGTGATGTACGCGTTGAGCAGGGACGCGAAGTAAGGAAGAGGGAATTTCCTTACAGGTATGTGATATTTATCACCCAGAATATAATATGTTTTACGTACTCACGATTTGATCCGCCGAACTTTACTTCCAGAAGAAGGTGACGCGAGTGCTGTAGTAGACGGAGGTCAAAACCCTCAATTAAAAAAAAAAAAAAAAATTAAAAAATGAATACACAATCTGGTTCTTCTAGCAAACATCGTTTACTTCCGGTTCGGCTTGTTCGCCAAGTCGGTTGGGCAGCTCTGGGCTGAAATCCTACGGTCGAGATTTACCGGACCTACTTTGAACACTCCTCTGGCAATGTTCGGCCCCTGGTTGATCTTTTCCCACTCAACTACGCCCCGTCTCGCGCACGGCACTCGACTTCCGTAACCGCACTCGCCGTCGCCTCGCAATTTCCTTCGTGAATCCCATCCCAATCTGACACGCACACCCGAGGCGCATTTCAAAGCCAGACCAGAATTGTCGAAATAAATGTGCAGGCAGCAGCCGTAATTGCATTCATTCTCAGAGCACTCATACACTTGCCCATTCATCGGCACAACTAACTTCCCAGTCAGCTCCATTTTCCTTCTACAACCAGTCCCTGCAGTCTGGTTCAGCGAGCTACAAGGTTCTTGCAAATACCGCGCGCATGAGGCTTCAGCGCGAAATCATGGCGAATCGACCATTCATCGCGGCATTGGTTCCGCTTGTTCTGCTGCTCATCGCAGGTAGCTGCACAGCTTACCCCGCATCCCGCCATGGGGTGGCCAGCAGCACGTCCAACCCGTCGCCGTCCGCGAACGGCGATGCAGTTTCGTGGAAGGACTACCACCTGCATTCCGAGCCGCATCGTTCCCTTGAAAGTGTGCACGAACGAGTTTCTGAACCCCTCGTTTTCTTCGCAGAGGATAACATTCCATCTGATGATGGAAGTCCGCGCTCACCTCGTCGCGCTACTATCAGTGGCACTGGTACACACCACCCTGCTGGTAACCACCTCACTGGCGAAACGGCTCATCGGAGTGTCGCGGAATTTCGCATGGCCAGCGAGAGCGACGTGGAGATCCACTCTCGAGGTAACAGTGCCCCTCATGGGGAGATTCCAACTTCAATTCACCAGCGCGCCCGCGGCGCCAGTGGCAGTGTCAGCCCGAGAAATCACAATCAACGCAGCGCCCGCCGTAGCAGGGATAATGGCGGAGTTTTTGGCATGGTGGCGTATCGTGAGGCGCCTACCGTTAACAGCCACAGCCCGTTGAACAAGGCTTTTCACAAGGCGTCAGCCGAAGACGTGATTATTCACGACGGTAACCGCGGCGTGAGTGGTACCGTGAATTTCGACGGGCGTCCTCACATGGCGTCAGCCGAAGACGTGATTATTCACGAGAGGAACGGTGCTGCTAACCGGGAGAATCGCGGTGAAAGTCGTGGCATGAACCGCGGAATGATTCACGGCGGTAACCGCGTGAGTGGTAGCGTGAATCTCGCAGGGCGTCCTCACGCAGCATCAGCCGAGGACGTGATTATTCACACGAGGCACGGCGTTGCTAGCAGGGAGAACCGCGGCGCTAGTCACGGCGGCAACCGCGGCGTGAGCGGCGGCGCGAATCTCGCAGGGCGTTCACACATGGCATCCGAAGAGGACGTGATTTTTCACACGAGGAACGGCGCTGCTGACAGGGCAAACCGCGGTGCTAGTCACGGCGGTAACCGTGGCGTGAATGGCGGCGCGAATCTCGCAGGGCGTCCACGCATGGCATCAGAAGAGGACGTGATTATTCACACGAGGAACGGCGCTGCTAACAGGGAGAGCCACGGCGGAGTTGACCGCGGCGCAAATCGCGCCATGAACCATGGCGTGAATCGCGGAGGGCATCCTCACGAGGCGGCTGGGCGTTGGGAGCATGGCGGCGTTGTGAGCGTGCCCAGCAAAACCATGGACTATGGCCCTGACGACAACAGCAGTGACGACTATAGTGGTCACTACACTGGGGATTACGGTGGTGGTCACATTGGGGACGAGACTGACTATGTAGGTGTTGAATTTGATGGTGACAGCTGGGGTAGTGGTGGATTTGTTGGTGATGCGTACTGATGGCAGCAACGTGTGCGTTACCTGAGCATGATGGAGAAGGGTGGAATGGGTGGGAGAAGCGTGAGGGTTCTGTGCTGGTGAGGGAGGGTGCTGGTGAGGGAGGGTGCTGGTGAGCGCGGTGGGCGCTGGGAGAGGATGGAAGGGGAGGAGTTTGCTGGTTGGTGTGCGCTGCTTGCTGTGTGGACTGGCCTGTTGAAGCGTATTGTTGTCCCTACTGGTGATGTTGGTTGAATGCTACGATATTGTGGTGATAAGTGTGCATGATTGAGCCAATACCGTAGAACAAGGAATTCCAGGACCCCTCTCCACTCCACCCCTTGCACCACGAAGACATGGAGCACTACTTGATTGCTGCCATTGATTGAAGTAGCAGCACCTGCAGAATCTGTATCGTACATATCACACACTTGTTACACACATGCCTCGCACTCGTTACACAAATCATAGCTCACTCCACATGGTAGCACGCCACGGGCAAACAGCAGTCAAGAGTGACTGCAGATGCTGCCGCCTACTCATACAGCACTCAAACCACTCTCCCTCTGCTGCAGCCTGTGCTGCTGCCGCCTCTGCTGCTGCCCCCTCTGCTGCTGCCCCCTCTGCTGCTGCCCCCTCTGCTGTTTCCTCCTCTGCTGCTGCCACCTCTGCTGTTCTGCCAGTACAACCAGGCACATTTCCAGTCGTTGGTACGTGTGAGGCACTGGAGGAGTCGCCCTGTGCGCCTGAGTTCTTGAGGTCTACATGGTTCAAACTTCGAGGTGACTTATGAGTCGACTCAAAAGTCACGTGTGAGGCACTGAAGCCGCCCTGTGCGCCTGTGTTCTTGAGGTCTACATGGTTCAAATTTCCCAACTGGAAAGTGCACATGCGAGGGTTCCCCCACCTGCTGCTACTGCCGCTGCCACCAACGCTGCCGTCGCCGCTGCCACTGCTGCCACCAGTCAGAATCCTGCTCATAGTCGTGACTGTAGTGCTCCTGTGTGGAGTGGGACTAATGATCCCCCCACTGGCACTGCAGCTTGGGAAGGTGCGAGAGACGACCGTCCTGACAGAGCTTTCGCTGCTGTTGACTCCTTGTGTGGCGTCTGCGCTGCCGCTCCTGCTGGTGCTGGTTGTTGTGCTCTGAATGACACATGTGGTGCACGTGGGAACTGTTCTCTGCAGTAACTGAAGTGGAAAAAAATGGGGGGACGCGGTGGGGAACGGTGGGGGAGGGTTGGGATGGGGGAAATAAAGAAAGGCAAAGGGAGGAAGGATGAAGAAGGGGGATGGGGGATGAGGGCACAGGAAGCGGAGGGAGTGAGGGAGGGAGAGCAGGAATTGGTGGGGGAACCAGAAGTGTGGTGAGAGCAGCGCTGGTCTGAGCACACACGTGGGGATGAAGGTGATGGGAGCAAAGCACAAGCAATCAGAAGAGTGTGGAAAGCCGACCTGCTTGAGCATCCAGAGACAGTAGCTCAACCGCAGCTCTTCTCCTGCCCGGCGCTCCTCCTCTGTTGCACTGCTGCTGCTGTTGTTGCTGCCACCGCTACCGCAACCACTACTGCCAGAAGCATCAGCAGCAGCAGAAGCAGTCGCACCAGAAGCAGCAGAAGTAGTGACACCAGAAGCAGTAGCATCATAAGACTTGCTTACATCCTCACCTGCACTGTCTCTCACCTCCCTCACACGGCTGCTGCACCCCTCCTCCCCTCCCATCACAACCTCTCTCACCTCCCTCTCCATCACAACACTATGTGTCATCGCCCCACTCTGAACCTCCTTCCATGTACCCTCTCCATCCTTCCTCCCCTGCTTTCCCTCTTCCATCTTCTCCTTCTCCTCACCCTTCCCTCTCCCATCAACCATCCGTTCCTCCTCCTTTTCCCCTTCCCCTCCCCCAGCCACCACCAGTTCGTCTCCTGCTCCTCCTGTGCTACTCCCACACGCCTGCTTCTGCTGCTGTAACAGCAGGAGGTTCCGAGGCGAGAGCCAATCAGGCGGCGACAGGTGGCAGCACCAGAAGAGCGCGAGGAAGCGACGGTGGATCCAGAGAGCCTGTGGGATCAGACGAGGGCGGACGGGGGGTGGTGGAAGGGTGTGTGGGTGTGTGAGGGTGTGTGGGTGGGGGGGAAAGGACAGGTTAAGGCCCCAACGAGAGGGGAAGCTACTCTTGAGGCGCATCAGAGAAATAGGGGGGGGGAGGGGAAGGGGGGGGCGGGGGGGGGGGATCACAGAGAAGGCTGCGAAGACCTGGAGACAAAGGATGCAAAGCGCAGGTCATGTTTCCTCTCAGGCAGAACTTCATAAACACAAAAACAGATCAATACCATAACAGTGAGAGAGACTATGGACACAGCTTGTAACTATGCTCTCGTCCTGTTCCAGTGACACATACACTTGTAAAATCTGGAATCCACATTTTTCTAGTCCGCAAAAAAGAGAATTAAAAAAAAATGAGGGTTGTCCTCTTGGGAAACGCACCTCCCTGTTAGGATAACGGTGGATGAGTGGAAGGAGGAAGCGCCACTCCTCCTGTGCCACAGCGGGGCATGGGGGAGGGGGGAAGTGGGGTTGTGCGAGTTAGGGGGTTGGGGGAAGGAAAGAAGAGATGGGGGAGTGTGGGAGGGGGAAAGTAATGTAGATCAGAACGCAGTTGCGTGTAAGAAGGGAGGCTTGCACACGGCTCAAGATACAGAGGAAGCAGAGGGAATTGTTGCTAGTGCAGGTCATGCCATCTGTTTTCGTACGTACCAGCCAGATTTGTGACAGCAGGGATCGTGAGACGAGTGACTGTACCGGTGATGCAGCTGACTGTGCAAAGGCGTATGCTGACTGTGCGTGAGTCGTTGTATGCGCTACTGGCGATGGTGATGGTGGCATGGCCTGTGGTAAGGATGCTGATGGTGATGCTAATGGTGATGCTGATGGTGAGTGTAAGCTGCTGTGGATGGTACTGGTGTTGGCACTGATACTGGTGCGGCTGGTTGAATTGGTGTTGGTGGTATTGCTTGTGGAAAAAGAAGAAGAGGAGGAGGAGGACGAGGAGGAGGAGGAGGTTGAAGAGGGGGAGAATGTAGCTCGCAACAACGCTGAAAGAAGCTCCTGCACGTTTGGAATGCAATGGAACGGAGGGAAAGAATGGAAGAGGGAAGGGAGGGAGGGGAGTCCGGGGAGGGTGGTGGCCGACCGAGTAGGGGAGGGAGGGTGCAGGGATCTGCACAAGCATGTTTGTAGTTCTGGCAGGAAAGGAATTCGGAGCGTGAACCGTGAAACATTTGAGGCACCCAACAGATTTCGAGGTGCCCTAGAATTTTCATGGCAGGAATCAGGGGAGTTCAGAGGGGCCTCAAAGCCCACTCACCCCATCGACCCAGTCAGCCCTTCGTCCTAGTCAACTCCCACCACCACCCTTCAAGGCCACTTACTCTACGGAAGTGGAAGAGGCAATTATCCTCCACACTCCACGCTGCCCATCTGCTGCATTTGAGGCGCCTCAGAATCATCTCCAGAAGTGAGAGGCGCTCAAATGCGGACTTACTCTATGGTAGTGGAAGAGGCAATTATCCTCCACACTCCGTGCTGCCCACTCCCTGGCGCTGCCTAGCTGCTGCTTTTGAGGCACCTCAGAACCGTCTAAAAAAGCTAGAGGCGCCTACATAACCAGCTTACTCTGCGGTAGTGGAAGAGGCAATTATCCTCCACACTGCGCGCTGCCCACTCCCTGGTGCTGACCAGCTGCTGCTGCCACTGCGGAACGGAGGGGAAGATGGGGCGAGGAGGAAGAGAGGAGCGAGATCGGACGGAGAGAGGAGGGGAAAAGGAGAAAGAGTGGAGGGAGAGAGGATGGAGTGAGGAGGGGGAGAAGAGTTCGAGCGGACGGGGAGAGGTGGGAGAGAAAAGCGAGAGAGGAGGGGTAGAGGAGGAGGAGAGGCAGGAGAGAGGAGGGAAACAGTGACGGGGAAAAATGGAGAGGGCGATGAGAGGGGGGAAAGAGAGAGGAATGGTGCAAGGCGGATGTTAGAGAGGCGACGTCATGCAGGTGGGGAATGAGGGAAAGTATGAGGAGGGAGGAGGAACAAAAAGAACATGGCCGAGAACATAGGGAGTGCAGATCGGCGGATTGAGGGGGAGGAGGAGGAGGGGGGGTGAGGCGAGACGCGAAGAGAAGAGAGAAGTGGCAGACATCACCGAATGCATGCCATGCCATGCATGCATGCATACCCTCCTGTGCGTGCGCCATGAAATATGAGTGCCATGACTCAAAAGTGAAGAGTACAGAGAAGCGACAGCCGGCCCCGAATGCGTGACATGCTATATGTCCCCCTGTGCGCCATGCACACCCCCCCTCTGCACCATGCCCATTCTCTTGTGCGCGCACATACCATATCTGGCAACATGAGGGGGATTAGGGAGCAGCGGTGGGCCCAAGGGCGATAGCCCAGGGGGAAGCGCTGGAGTGGCAAGGAAGGGGGTTGGTGAGGGGAAGATGGGGTTTGGGCCGGGGGGAGCAGGAGGGAAAAGAGGGTTGCAGGTAGGGAAGGGAACAGGGGGAGGATGGGAGCGGGAGACAGAAGAGGCTAAATAACAAATGGGTGGGGATATGGCAAGGGAGAAAATGAACATTGCACTCTTGATTCTTGCACAAGGACTTCAAGCGAATGTGGGATAGATCATAGCCGAACGCAGGTTGCGTGTAACATGCTGAGACAGATACAAATGTATGTGCGTGGGAATGGGCGTGGGCGTGGGCGTGGGCGTGTGTGTGTGTGTGTGAGTGTGTGTGTGTGTGTGTGAGTGAGTGAGTGAGTGAGTGTGTGTGTGGCAGAAATACCTGCGCAATGGTATAATGGAACGTAAGCTCCTTGTTTAACAGCGTAAGGAGCTTTGGAGGAAGAGGGGAGTATGAGAGGGGAGGGGAGGATAAGGTGGAGGAGGAGGAGGAGGAGGAGGAGGAGGAGGAGGAGGAGGAGGAGGAGGAGGAGGAGGAGGAGGAGGAGGAGGAGGAAGAGGAGGAGGAGGAGGAGGAGGAGGAGGAGGAGGAGGAGGAGGAGGAGGAGGAGGAGGAGGAGGAGGAGGAGGAGGAGGAGGAGGAGGAGGAGGAGGAATAGGAGGAGGAAAAGAAGGAGGAGGAGGATGAAGTGGAGGAGGAGGAGGAGGAGGAGGAGGAGGAGGAGGAGGAGGAGGAGGAGGAGGAGGAGGAGGAGGAGGAGGAGGAGGAGGAGGAGGAGGAGGAGGAGGAGGAGGAGGAGGAGGAGGAGGAGGAGGAGGAAAAGGAAGAGAAGGAATAGGAGGAGGAGGAGGAGGATGAGACAGTAGATTTGGCGACAGTCTGCTTATTCAAAGGCTCCTCTTGCTGTTGCTGCTGCTGCTGCCGCCTTTGTTGCAAAAGGTAAAGCCGAGCCAAGTGGCCAATCACAAAGCGACTGAAACCGGCAGGTGGTTAGTGAAAGGAAGGGGGGAAAACACCGCAGTTGAAGAAAAATGAGACAAAATGAGAAAGGCGAGGGAGAACTGAAGACACTGAAAGAAGGGAATAAAGTGGGGAATCGCTTGAGGTTCACGCCTTATTGCCTACAATCAAAGATGAGGAGGGGTTGTGGAAGTGACGCATTTCCGCACATATGGAAGCGGGTAGTGCGTATGAGTTTGAAGTGACACCGACAAAAGGGCAGGGGTTAGTGATGGGAGCGCACCACATGCACATGCAAGAGGACTCCAATTTGATACGCTTGTGGTGTGTGTGTGTGCGTGTGTGGAGAGGGGGGGGAGGGGAGGGGAGACGCGGGGTGGGTGTGGATGGGTGGGTATTGGGGGCCCGAACATTCAACTTGGGTGGCAACGTGCGTGGTTCTTTTGAGGCGCATCAAAAGGCAATGTGCGTGGTTCTTTTGAGGCGCATCAAAAGGCAATGTGCGTGGTTCTAATCTGAGCTTACCGGTGAGCCCATGCATCTGTGCTCTCACACCCCCATGCATCTGTGCTCTCACACCCCCATGCATCTGTGCTCTCACACCCCCATGCATCTGTGCTCTCACACCCCCATGCATCTGTGCTCTCACACCCCAAGCATCTCTTATCTGAACTTACCGGTGAGCCCAAGCATCTGTGCTTTTGCCAAAAAACGAGAGCACAACTCCGGTAAGTGCCAGCTCAGCCTGAAACCGAGCCTCGTCCTTAGGCTCGGGGCATGCTCCCGCAGGCTCGGAATAGGCTCCGAAGGAGGAATCAGAATGAGGGGACTTGTGAGGAGAGCGTGTGTGAGAATGGGGTGGTGCGGTACGCATGTGTGAGGAATACGGAGAGGGCGAATGGGCGTATGAGGGAAATAGGCGATGCCTCCTGCTTTGGAAAGCGCAAAGAGAGAGTGGGAGGTGAGGGAAAGAGCGAGGGAGGGAGGGAGGGAGGGAGGGAGGGAGGGAGGGAGGGAGGGAGGGAGGGAGGGAGGGAGGGAGGGAGGGAGGGAGGGAGGTGTTAGAATTAGGCTATCAACACTTTGTGTACTATATTCTATATCGCGTAGGTTATTTGCAGGTTGGGTGTAGTTTGTGATCCCAACCCTATCTGGTTGGGATTCCCTCGTAATCCTGCAAATCTGCCAACTCACCAATTGGAGATTTGCTAGGATTCCCATCCCATCTTTTCCCTCGCCTTGCCCATCCCAACCTCGTTTGTACTTAAGGCCTAGTGCCTTCTTTCCTAATCAATCAGTTCAGTTCCAATTCTATCATGGTATCAGAGCTAGCAAATTCCGCTCACGCGGAATCCGATCCTTGGCGTCGCGATCATTCTCTTCTTCTCGGCTATGGCGTTCTCGGTTCACGCCTTCTTCGCTTAGCGTTTTTCGTCTTCACATCGTCGCACTGGTCAAAAGCGCTTTCCCGCTCCGTCTACGTGCATTTCCGATTTCCACGGCGGCACATTTCTCCGTCAATTTCCTTCATCGTAAGCTCTGAAATTTCAAATTTCCGTGGCAATTTTCTCACATTCGAAACTTCCAGCAGGTTTTCATCGGTGCAGCAGAGCAGGTTCAGTGGCGCAGCAGAGCAGGTTCAGCGGCGCAGCAGAGCAGGTTCAGCGGCGCAGCAGAGCAGGTCAGCGGCGCAGCAGGGCAGGTTCAGCGGCGCAGCAGAGCAGGTTCAGCGGCGCAGCAGAGCAGGTCAGCGGCGCAGCAGGGCAGGTTCAGCGGCGCAGCAGAGCAGGTTCGGCGGCGCAGCAGAGCAGGTCAGCGGCGCAGCAGAGCAGGTTCAGCGGCGCAGCAGAGCAAGTTCAGCGGCGCAGCAGAGCAGGTTCAGCGGCGCAGCAGCACAGGTCAGCGGCGCAGCGGAACAGGTCATCGGCGCAGCAGAAAAGGGGTCATCGGCGAAGCAGAGAAGCAGAACAGGAATCGCAATCTTATTGGCGAAATCGCACATTTCCGCATTTCGGACTTCGCTCCGCTTCGCTCTGCTTCGTATCGTTGACTTTAGCGCTGCGCTCCGCGCGAATGGCGACTTCAACTTCTACCCTTGCCTCAAGGACATCCTCCTCAACCGCGGCAAGGGAAAGATGCCTCTCCCTCCCGATCCCCTTGGCGAAGGCGCCACTGCCGCAGAGAAGGCCGTTTTTGACGCTCAGACCACCAAGTACGAGACTGATTTCAGTGTGTGGGAGCAGGCAGATGCAGCAGTTATTAGGGTTTTCATCACCACCGCTCCGGTTGAGCTCGTCAAATCCTACCGCACCTTTCGCTCCGCTCATGCGATTTGGAAGTACCTCCAGGACCGTTTCCATGACAAGACAGCAGTGGGTGTTGCCATCCTCATCCCTCGAATGTTCCAGGTCCGCCTTGAGGAATGCCCTGGCATGGCAGATTACATCTCTGAAATCCGCAACATCCATGAGGAACTCAAGGACATTGGGATCATTTTCCCCGAACAGGCACCTGCAGCTGGCCCACTTGTAGGACTCACCCCGGCCTACAATGTCACCAGCTCCATGCTCAAGCAACTTCCCACCAAGGAACTCACCTTCAAAAAAGTCGCATCGGCTCTCCTTTCCGCCGAAAAGGACCTTGCAGCCCGAGCATCCGTCAATGCTGTGCACTACACCCCTGGAATCCCATTCCGCTCCCAACAAGGACCAAGGCGCAACTCCTTTCCCCCATGCCCTTACATCATTAGGAAAGGCCCAGAAATGCGGAGGCACCAACCACCCTGAGGCAACTTTCTTCAAGAAGCGAGATGATGAGTGGTACGACGTCCATGGTGTCTCCACCAACAAGCGCCCTCCCAACTGGGCCCCACCCCGTCGCGTGAACTATGTCGAGGCAGTGGAGGTGCCTAGTCCCTCAGTTGATAGCACCCCATCGGATATTCGCCTCAACCTGTTGTTCTCAGGTGCTGGTCTTATTAATGAGAAGGGGTCACAGTACATCGGGGTTTCAAACACACAAGGGATCGAGTTCATACTAGACAGTGGTGCCACCCACACAGTGCTCAAAGACCAAACCGCGTTCGTTCCTTACCAGGCTCCCATCCCACTCCTCGGAGCCGACTCTAGCTTCTCCATCCAATGCCATGGGTCCTCCACAGTTCCTTGTCCAGCATTTCCATCGGGCACAGTCACTGGCATCTGTGCCCCCACCCTCCGCCACAACCTCCTGGCACAAAGTGAAATCCAACAAGCAGGAGTGGTCACCATCTTTCCCAATGATGTCGACTACTGTGACCTCTTTGACGCCAAAACCGGCATTCATCTAGCCCGCTTCACTCTCAACTCCAACAACCTATACACGCTCGTAGTACCTCCAATTCAAACGTGCTCCCTCACAAACCTCCCGTTACCTTCCCTTGACTCCTCCACCTGTCACTGCCGCCTCCTTTCCGACAAAACCATGCTCTTTCATCACCGCCTTGGCCACATCAACTTTCGCGCGCTTTCAGACCTTGCCACAAAACAACTCCTCCATGGGCTTCCAACCTCACTTCCCTCTCCTACCTCCACCCTAGGGCTGCCTTGCTTTGACTGTGCACAGAGCAAGCTTCGTGAATAGCCCCATCCCCCCACTGAGTCCATCTCCGCTGCACCTCTCGATCGCGTGCACATGGACCTTTGGGGCCCAGCTCCTGTTCGCTCTCGCGGTGGACACTTTTACTTCCTTGTCATCATTGATGACTATTCCTGCTATGTGTCTGTCCACCTTCTCTCCTCCAAAGCCGAAGCCCCAGGCGTCATCATTGAATGGGCGAAGCGGGCTCACAAACACTTCAAAACCACCATCAAGGTCCTTCACTCTGACGGTGGCGGTGAATTCCGCAACAACACTCTCAAAGCTTACTGCTCCACTGAGGGTATCCGTCAGACTTTCACTCTCCCGGACAGTCCCCAACAGAACGGTATTGCCGAAAGCCGGAACCGTACATTGGTGCAGATTGCTCGCTACCTCCTCACGCACGCCTCCGCCCCTCCCTCTCTCTGGGGGTACGCCATGCTTCATGCTGCCGCCCTCCACAATCTCCATCCCCATCCTCATCACACCCACACCACCCCCGCTGAGCTATGGACGGGTCAAAAGCCATCCGTCCGCCGTTTTCGTGTATGGGGGTGCACTTCCTATGTCCTCCTCAACTCCCAAGCCCGTCGTGCGGCTGGCGGCAAACTTGCTCCCAAAACGATCACGTGCGTATACCTCGGGCACAACTTAGATTCGCCATACTATCTCTTCCTCCATCCTTCCACCAACAAGCTCTATCGCAGCCGGGACGTTTACTTTGATGAGTCCCACCCATTCTACCCCTCCTCCAAGGCTTCCCTCTCTCCTCCGCCTCCCTCTCTTACTTGGGCTGACTTTGACAGTCTCCGTCTTCCCGACACTCCATCTCCTCCTCTTCCCGCTCCCTCCACCATTTCTGATCCCCCATCACCCGCTTCCCCCTCCAGTACCATACAGTCTCCCTCGCTCCCTCCCTCCTCCGCTACCCTTCCTCCATCTCCTCTCGCACCTCCTCCTACCGAGCCCGTTCCTCTCAAAACCTGCCAACGCCGTCACCCAGCTCCTCCTCCTCCTGCTCCCACCCCTGATCCCGATCCTGTCTCCACTCTCCCTCCCACTCCCACCTCCCCTTCCGCTGTGCCTACTCCGGCCCCGCCTCCCTCACCCATCGCTTCTCGCACCCGCTCTCGCACACCTCCACAACCGTTCTCCCTTTCCGTTCGCGTCTCTCTCAATCCTCCTCCTGTCGGGGGTGATTATTCTCTCATGCCATCCCTCCTTGAAGACAGACATGAGGAGTTGATTGATATCGACTCAGCCATCCACGCACTCTGCTTCCTCTTTCCAGACATCGCAGACTCTCCCACCCTCAAATTCTCCGACAACCCCTCCATCCCCACACCTCTCACCTATGCTGAAGCAGTCTCTGGTCCTCACGCCGCTCAGTGGTTGGGGGCCATTGTCGCAGAATGTGAGGCCTTCATTCACACAGGAACTTTCACAGACGTCTCTCCTCCCTCCGGCGTCAACATTGTGAAGGGAAAATGGGTCTTTCGGGTGAAACAACTTCCAGGCGAATTTCCTGTCTTCAAAGCCTGATACTGTGCCAAGGGATTTACCCAAAAGCGTGGACTGGACTTCTTTGAGACATTCTCTCCCACCGCCAAACCTCCCACACTGCGCACCCTTCTCGATGTCGCTGCTCGAGATGACATGGAGGTTGACTGCATGGATGTGTCTTCTGCGTTCCTGCAACGGATCCTTCGAGAGGAAATCTATATGGAGCGGCCCGAAGGATTTCCAGCTCCTTTTCTCCAGGCACTGTATGGAAGTTGAATCGGCCAGTGTATGGCCTCAAGCAAGCTCCCCGGGAATGGCACAACAAGCTAAAGAGCACCTTAGGGTCCCTCGACTTTCACCCATCCACCTCTGACCCCAGCCTCTTCATCCGAGCAACACCCTCCCGGTTCTTCATCCTCGTTTATGTCGATGACATGATCCTTGTCACCAAGGATCAGACTGAGCTGGCAGCAGTCAAAACTGCACTTGGTGAGAAGCTGGCCATGAAGGACCTTGGGAAGCTGACGAACTATTTGGGAATGGAAATCACACGTGATCGCACAGCCCGCACCATCACCCTTTCGCAGAAGTTTTACATCAACAACGTTCTGACAAGGTTCCAGATGCAGGAAGCAGCATCAATGCCCACCCCACTCTCTCTGCAGCACCAACTCACTGCACCCTCCGTTCCCTCACCTGAGCCCTGTGACGAGCCTTACCCCGAGCTCGTGGGATCCCTCATGTACGCGATGATGTGCACTCGACCAGACTTAGCCTATCTAGTCAGTGTACTGTCCCGCTACGTTGCACCTGGTCACTTCACTCGCCACCACTGGTCTGCCGCCAAGCGGGTTCTTCGCTATCTCAAAGGCACACAGGATTATGTGCTCACACTTGGCGGCACTTCCCCGGTTCGCCTTGAGGGGTACAGTGACTCATCCTATGCTGATGACCAGAGTGATCGGCGCTCGTCCCAAGGATATTGCTTTACCCTTGGCAGTGGGGTTGTAAGTTGGCGCTCCACTCGGTCGTCCTCCGTCTCACTGTCGACCTGTGAGGCACAGCTGTATGCCGAGACCATGGCTGCACAGGAGGCTCGTTGGCTCTCCTTCCTGCTGACAGAACTGGGGTATCCCCAACCAACCCCAACGCTTTGGTGTGACAACGAGAGCACCATTCATCTCACCAAAGACCCCGTTTTCCATGGCCGCACCAAGCACATTGAAATCCGTCACTACTTTCTTCGTGCGCTGGTGCAGCGCGAGCAGCTGAAGGCTGAACACATTGCCTCCGACTGCAACCTTGCTGACTTGTTTACCAAGTCGGTTGTTCGCGAGGATCATTACCGCCTCCTCTCGGCCATGGGTGTTGGGCCTCCTTGTGGCTGATGTGTTGCAGCCTAGGGGGTGTGTTAGAATTAGGCTATCAACACTTTGTGTACTATATTCTATATCGCGTAGGTTATTTGCAGGTTGGGTGTAGTTTGTGATCCCAACCCTATCTGGTTGGGATTCCCTCGTAATCCTGCAAATCTGCCAACTCACCAATTGGAGATTTGCTAGGATTCCCATCCCATCTTTTCCCTCGCCTTGCCCATCCCAACCTCGTTTGTACTTAAGGCCTAGTGCCTTCTTTCCTAATCAATCAGTTCAGTTCCAATTCTATCAGGAGGGAGGGAGGGAGGGATGTATGAGATAGGCAGACAAGGTTGCAGGCATATGAGGCACATGAGGAGGATGGAATAAGATCATATGCCTCTGACTGACCCTGTCAACTGTATGCAACGTTTCAGTGCAGAGGCAAGAACGCAAACAGCAGCTTTTACATTGACTTTTCACTTGCTCCCTCCCTCAAACTCATATCCCACCTGCCTCTCCCACATCCCAACCAACCCCCTTCAACCCTTCCAAACCTCTTAACTCCTTCCCCATCCACCATCACCCTTGCGCTCCTCTTTTAAACCCCAGCTCCATCCGTTCCTCTCTCTCCCATCAGCATTCGTCCCTGCCATGCCTTCAAATTACGTGCACACACGCCTACCTCACGTGCACACACGCCCACCTCACGTGCACACACACCCACCTCACATGCCATGCCGTGCTGTGCTCGCCATTCACCAGCACCAGCGCCCGGGTCACCAGATCTACCTCCTCCTGTCCCTCCTCATCCTCCTCCTCTCCCTCCTCATCCTTCTCACCCCCCTTCTCCTCCTCCTTTTCTCCTCCTCCTCCGGCTTTTTCCGCCTGACCGGCCCCTTCCCCTCTCATTCCCTGCAGCCGTGCCGAAGCAGCAGCGAATAGCGGGGGGACAGCTGGCATGGCGATGGCGAGCTTGTGGTCTTGGAGGTAGAAGGAGGAGGAGGAGGAGGAGGAGGAGGAGGAGGAGGAGGAGGAGGAGGAGGAGGAGGAGGAGGAGGAGGAGGAGGAGGAGGAGGAGGAGGAGGAGGAAGAGGAAGAACCTACGGGACGTGACAACTTCTCCCCACCGTCCACCTTATTCTCCGTCAGGTTGACTGGCTTTTTTTCACTGCTGGACGGTTCTGGCAAGGCAGGCAGGATGGCGTATTCGTCTCTGGCAGGAGAAGGGAAGAGCAGGGAGGTTTGAGTGGGGATTCAGGGAGATGGGAGGTGGATATGTGAGGGGATGAGAGAGTAAAGATGCAAGGAGGAGCGGCAGGATGTAGAACTGGAAGGAATAGGAAAAGGAGGGGGAAATATGGTGACTTGTACACTTGTGGGGAGGGTGCGGAAGAAAAGCAGCTCTATCTACTGGCAGCAGGCACTCAAGAGGAGGTGAGGAGCAATCTCGTCCCTTAGCCGTGAATTCTGCGGTTCATTCTTAGTCCGTGAACTTGCGAGAACGCGCGTGCATCAGCTATTCTGCTCGTCCGCCTGTTAGTCAATCCGTCCATCCGACAGACGGTCCGTTAATCCCAGAGTGAGACCAATGAGCGACTATAAGCGACGATCTACAATCAAAGAGGCACGGTCGTCGCACATGTGGGGGTCGGATCGGAGCACAGAGTGCAGTTCCAGCAGAATGGTTTTGAGACTTCCCAAAACCAACCTTCGACAAAAACGAGAGCCGCACATGTGTGGGTCGGATAGGAGCACAGATTGCAGTTCCTGCAGAAGCGCGGCTCCCTCGGCCACCAGTTTCGCATTGCGGGTGCTAACGAGCGAATCAGCACGCGCGGAGGCATCCGCGGCTTGGGATGACTCGGCTTCCGTTATGCGCGACGGGTCCTGCGCTGTTGCTGCCATTTGCTGCGCCTGCTTTTCGAGCGAAGACCAGCGGAAAGGTGCGCACAGTGGACTCCTGACACGAACTCTAATTTAAGAATCGGGACAAAGGGCTACCAGTAGGACTGTCGGAAAAGTTGAAATTCGTGGTAAATAGAAGCATCCCCGCTACACGAGTTTCTTCGAATTGTCAGTGCAGGTATACAGTTCGTTACAGATGGCGACCTTATGTAATCAGGTGTAACATATTCTAGAGTGCACTGTTTCGCGCTTTTCACACGAACCAACGGCTTTGTGCTCTCGTGCCAACGTGCATCCCCCCAATTCCCAAATCCCAAATTCGAAAAAGGCAATCCCAATTCCCAAATCCTTCGCCCTACTGATATATTGGCGCTGTTCTGCAGGCGTTAAATTGCCAGAAACTGGGTCCGCAGAAACTTTCCCGATAATTGGGCGATCGCCTATCAAGGTTTGGTGATAAGCACGGCCCTGCCAGACCTGCTCGCGCCAAATTTAACGCCTGCAGCCTGCAGAACGCCAGTTTTGGGGCACACAAATTTAACGTGGTGAAGGCTCCAAGATGTTGCGTCTCCAGGCAAATGTCCGCACAACTTGTGCACCCCCAATTCTGCCTCGAGAGGTAGCATCAGCCAGCGCACAAGTTATGCGGGGCAGCAATTTGAGAGATTTGTTAGTTGAGCGCCATTGCCGACGTCCCAAGTTCTCTCAGGCTTTCTCTCAACTCAACTTCCCATGATGCATGTGCATGGCAATTGCGAGCAGCACACTTGTAAGCAAGTGGAGTCCGCACGGCACGGCGCGTGGACGGGCTTAGCTGGGGGTGACTGCGACCTCTATTCACCTTACCCCACCGAACCTTGCCTCAACGGGCTTTGCTGGATGGAACTCACCAGAAATATCTGCCTCACCTTCGCCTCTATCGAAGCTCTGAGAGCCCTGGCATCCCACATCTCACGTGGCGGTAGCAGTCGGACGCGCGGCGACAGAGCTAGCCTAGTCACGTGCAGCCCGCTGCCTTTCTAGCGCCACGCGGATGAACGAGAATCTTCCTGCTCCCTGTCACCTCGTCAACCTTGCATCGATTAGAGGCCCACTCCCATCGGATGCCACGCGTCTCTCTTTAGCGACTTGGATGATCGAATGCAAACGCTTAGAAGCAGCAACCTTACCAGCTCTCTCCCGCACCAACGAGCCCTCGCTTGCATTTCGACCATCCGCCGTGGTGCATCCACCATGTGCATCCACTCCATCCGTCCGTCCTTTCTCCCTCCTCCCTCCCCTGCGGTAACCATCATCCGCCGTCTGCATATGGCGATGCGCGCATGCAACAACATTCAATGTGCCTCCAAGCTTATTGACCGACCATAATCTTCACCCTCATCCCGCATCGCGCGTCCCGCATCGCGCGACTCCAGCCTTCGCAACTTTCATATAATGCTCCCCACCTCCACCATCATTCCATCCCGTGACGTTCTCTCTCTTCCACGTCTGTTCTTGCTTTCCACTCAGCTCTCTCTCTCCGATTCTGTTGACACCTTCGCGTTCGCACCACTCCGATCATCCCCATGGCGACCCCGTCCCCGCTCAAGTCTGTGACGGCGCACTCGTGGGAGACGGAACCCGAGGGCGCGCTGGAGGGAATTGTGCTCGAGGACGATGCGATCTTCGACCCCGTGAAGGCCGTTAAGAGCAAGGTTTCGAAGCTCGTGCCGGAGGAAGGAGCGCACAAGCCCACGCACTGCCTTGCGCGCCTGCGCTTCCACCCCAACACGGAGAAGCAGCTCAACAACATGATCAAGTATGGCTTCCATGCCGGGATCTAGGCTGCTCTTTTTTTTGCTGTAATTGTGAAGTATTTTCATGTTGTAACCGTTGAGTCGGGTCTGTCTTTCTCCTGTCTCCAAACCTTCGTCTCGTTTTATCTGCTGATTAATTTTGTCTTCCTTTGTCGTGGTGGTTGTGCTGACAATCGCCTGTTGTCGGATTCTTTCCGTGATGGCCAGTGTGGAGTACGCCATGTCCTACACCTTCCACAGCATGAGCAACTACTACGCCCGTGACTGCGTGGGTCTTCCAGGGCTTGCAACGTAAGATATATCCCGCATAAGTGTGCTTTTCGCTGCTGTTTACAGAATCATGATTTCTCTACGGTCTCATCTTTGCATGATGTGGCTTGACCTGATGTGCCTGTTTTGACTGTCAATCTGCAGACTTTTCATGAAGCGCAGCAATGAGACCAGGAAGAACGCTATTGAACTTGGCGCCTATGTCGTAAGTTCCTTTCAGCATCTCGTTCGCTTCTCCTGGGCCTCCATAGAACCTGCTCCTCACCCCAATTCCGATTCTCCTCGACAATGGCATGTGCATGTTGATTCTGCAGTCGAAGCGTGGCGGGTGTGTGGTGTTGAAGCCCATTGCTGCTCCTGAGGGCGAGTATGGTGATCCTCAGAAGGGAGATGCTCTCAGCGGTACGTCTGAAGCAGCAATGTGGATCAAATACCTTCATAAATAACGACGACGGTACACATCTGCACCATAACTTGGTCTGGGTGTTTATACGCAGGCATGGAGCTGACCCTCGCCATGGAGAAGGCAGAGACTGATAAGTTCCTTTCACTGAACAAGGTACAGTGAAGTCCCATCCTTGTGCAGTTAAGCTTCTCTGATCTCTTGAGGGGATGTTGCTCTTTAGTCGAATTTATGTTCATTCTTTGAAATCGCTGTGTTCATTCTTCAGGCTGCGGAAGATGTGGTGGATGAGCAGCTTTCGGACTTTCTCACCGACAACTTCATTGACAAGCAGGTATGTGAGAGTTGCTGAGATGTGAAACTGCGTGAGTAAGCAGCTTCAAAGACATGCTGTACTTGATCTGCTCTGTTACTTACATCATGCCCCTCCTTCCCAGGTGGATCTTCTCAAGCTCCATGCGATCTATGTGTCGCAGCTGCGCCGCGTGCGCACTGGCCATGGTGAGTGTATAGAGCATGATGGATGCAATGTCAAATGATTGCTTTGTGCATGGCGTATTATTTGGTATGGGTATATTGAGAAATTTGGCATTGATGTTTTTTTTTTGCTTCTTCCTTCAGGCCAGTGGCATTGGGACAAGTCGCTTGCCGAGGAGCTTGGGACCAAGGCCATGTAAATCAGCATAAGAAATGCAAATCGGCCAGGATGGCCGGGAGCAATGACGGATGTGGGGTTGTGGATTGTGGATTGTGCCATTGTACATAGTGTACCGTATGCAATATATCAACAGTGTCAGAAGTTTCAAATGTAGCCGGTTGTTACGGGTGCAATGAATCGAAGTAGCGAGAATTGCACTAAGGTGTCAAACGAGTACAAAGATGTGAGCGAAGGCATGAGGGAACAGTTATACGCGAGACATGCAAACGGTAACGCGGTGCGTGCGAGCTAGCTAGTGCTATGCTGGCAGCGAGGCTCGGGCTAGTCCCGAAGCGTACGCCGACACGGCCGGGTCAGCAGTGAGAGGTTTGGCAAAACAGTGAGCGCGAAGTTGGCGAAGTTGCTGTACGCGATGTAGTCGGGCTCCGTAAGGAATGCCGAGAAAAATCCTTACACCGGTACATGTTCTATGGGAGTCTATGCAGAATGTCGAAGAGCACTTCCCTTTCACGGTTTTTCCTCATTTCTAAGCTGTTATGGCTGCCATGGTTGGTGCCTTAGCGCCGAGCTCTGTGCGCGCTACGGCTCCAAACGCATGGCAATCACGGGATAATTCTCGCTGTTCCCTCGCATTCTCTTCCTGCTCCGCTGCGCTTCCTATGAATTTGGGAATTAAGGTGGCTTTGACTGGGGAATGCTCCTATAGTTCCCTCTCCGCCAGACGAAGCCTGTTTCGGCGAAACGCTGACACTTTTCTGTTACTTTCGAGTGTTGTTTCGCGAGGAATGACGTCACCTTCTCGCGAAGGAGGTCTGTTAGTCCGTGGCGATGGTGATCCCGTACGGGAGTGGATTCTTAGCGAGACGGGGGGCAAGGCGAGCACAATAACGCGGATATCCCCTGTCTTCGGCGGGTGCATCAATAACGCGTCTAGATACGAAACGGATGTCGGTTCCTTTTTCGTGAAAACGAACAGGTGAGGGACATGTTGGAGAGAGTTGACTTAAGTAGGACAGGAGCGCAGCAGCGGAAGGAGAGTGAGCTGGGAAGCCTTGAAGGGGAATCATGGGTGGAATGGCGAGGGAAAAAGTGGATTCGCTGCATTGTCGTTATTGGTGCGCGTTTCTGAGTGTTCCCGGTTCGCTTCCCCTCTCCCCCTTCCCCCTCCCCTTTCCCTTCCCCCTACCCACTTCCCCTTCCCCCTTCCCCTCAGCTCCGCGGGCCCGGCAATGTTTGAGGCGGAGGTGGCGGGGCTGCAGGCCATGGTCGAGGCGGGGGCTATCCGCGTGCCACGCCCCTTCACTGCAGGCGCCATGCCGCGCCGCGGGTCGTATGTCGTCATGGAGTTCATTGAATTCGGCCACCTCAAGACGCAGGTGGGGAACGGTGGGGGGGTGGGGGTGAGGAGGGGAGGGATGGGCGCGGGATGGTGGCGCCAGAGTCGTACGCGGTCATGGAGTTTATTGAATACGGCCAGCTTAAAACGCGGGTGGGGATTGGTGGAGGGAAGGGGGAAGAGGGGGGAAGGGGGGAAGGGGGGAAGGAGTTGAAAGGGGACAAGGAGGTGCGGAACAGTGGAGGAAGCAGGGAAAACGGGGTAAGGTGGGAAGGGGGGAAAGGGGGGAAAGGGGGAGGGGCAGGTGGGCCAGGGTTATACGTGGTCATGGAGTTCATTGAATCCGGGCAGTTCAAAACGCAGGTATGGACCAATGGGAGGAACGGTAGTTGGGCTGGGAGAAGGTGGGGAAAGGATTGGGCCGGTTGGGGCGCCAGGACTGTACGTAATCATGACATTTTTTGAACATGGACAGTTGAGAATGTAGATTCAAGGAGGTGGGGAGAGTAGGTTATGGTGGGAAGGGGCTTTGGCTCCGGAGTTGTAAATCAAAATAGAAAGTGTTAAAAATCTGGACAGGTATAAGCCTACACGTGGGGTGGTAGGAATGCTGTGGGCCCATGGGGTTGAATTGTATGGTGATTGACTGGAGGTGCATGGGAAAGAGGGAAGAGGCAGGAAAGTGGGATTCACGGGAAAGAAGGGGTTTGTGGTATGGTATGGTATGGATGCTTGAAGGATAGTAGCAGGTGGACTCAAACGAGCAACTTACAAGGCAGCAGCTCGCCTTGCTCTTCCTTCTTTTCTTGTTCATTGTTCAGATTCTCATGGTTGAATCACACCCTCTTATAAAGCATCTATCTCCATTTCCTCTCTTTGATCTGTCTCAGGCAGAGTTAGGGCGGCAACTAGCCCTCATGCACCTGCAGGGGATGTCTCCTAATGGGCAGTTTGGATTTCATTGCGATAACACCATTGGCAGGTGGACTCAGCCACACATACACCACACCCGGTGTAAAATCAGTCCTTTCATTTTTCCTGTCAGTCCTCGATTTTTCTAAAAAAAGTTTTGCTACCTACCATCTACCACTATTGCCCACTGCTACAGCCCGCTGCCACTGCTGCCTAATGCTGTTTCTGCCTGCGTCTGCTGCTGCCTCCTGCCGCGCCATGCAGCACGCCCCAGCCCAACAAGTGGGAGAGTGACTGGGTGACATTCTTCAGAGAGCATCGGCTGGGTCACCAGCTGAAGCTGATCCGCAAGCAGTTTGCAGATAATGCTCTCGTCGCCAGTGGTGAGGCAGGATGGTGTGTGTGTGTGGTGTGTTGCATGATTCATGGTGCATGACGCATGGTGGATGGAGCATGACGCATGGTGGATGGTGCATGATGCATGGTGGATGGTGCATGATGCATGGTGGATGGTGCATGATGCATGGTAGATGACGTGTTTCACCTGGCATGCCATGCATGGCACATGTGCAAGAATGGCCATGGGCTGCACGCAACGTGATCAATTTCTCAAACCACACACACTGCCATGCTCTTCAGTAGGTACTGCTCAATTCGTTTGCTACTCAACTGTCCTACCTTGTTTCTCATTCAGGGGAGAAACTGCTGGAGATACTGCTCAATTCGTTTGCTACTCAACTGTCCTACCTTGTTTCTCATTCAGGGGAGAAACTGCTGGAGAAGCTTCCTGAGTTGCTTGGTGGTGTGGAGGTGAAGCCAAGCCTCTTGCATGGGGACCTGTGGAGCGGAAACATCGCTGCGGATAAGGAAGGCAATCCAGTCATCCTCGACCCTGCTACATACTGTGAGACGCAACTTGTAGGAATCATGACAGCCATTGTGCACTAGGCATTGTAGTATCTAAGTTTGTGAAGCCAGTTTTGGGATTAATTCCAATCTCATACTTAACCTTTCCTGGCTGTACCTATGTGCAGATGGGCATAGTGAAGCTGAATTCGGAATGTCGTGGTGTGCCAGTTTTGGCGGTTCGTTCTGGTCAGCGTATTTTGAGGTACGTTGTTTGCCACCTGTTCTCCTTGCGAAGTTCACACCCCCGGGTCGTTTTGCATTCCCGTGGCAGTTTACTCTATTTTGACTTCCGTATGTACTGCTAGTGTATGCTAATTCAATAAAACGATTGTTATCTTTTCAGGTTCTTCCTAAGCAGCCTGGCTTTGAAGAAAGGGTGGAGATTTACAAGCTGTACCACTACCTCAATCATTATAACCTCTTTGGATCATCCTATCGTTCGTCCTGCACGTCTATCATCAATCGGTTTGTCTGATGTGGATAATGGTTGATGGTACACTGGTGTGGAACCGTACCAAACACACAACAGTCAGTACCAGGCCATGTTTACCACATACAGTATTCATAACAATTCATGTCTGGACAAATCTTATTTCTGGTGTAGAAAGAAGGGTTTAAAACATTTTTGAGTGAAGCCTGAGACCTAAGTCCCATGTACTACTCAGTCTTAGCTTGGTCTGAGCACTGTTACTACGTTACTCATGCTTGATTACTTGGGCACAACAATACAATTTATACCAAAATGATAATACATAATAACTCTGAACGAACGAAATGCATCATAGACACGACCTAGCAGGTGACCTAATCCGCTGTACATATCAACTCAAGCCACCAAAAAACTCATGTACAGATCTGGAAGACAGCTTGCGAGGGATCTCACACCCCACCACCTGGTAGTTTGCTTGTTCCTCTCGCGGGTCTTCATATGAATCAGACAAGTCTTGAGAGTAACGGACAATGTCCGTCCACGGCTTTAATAGGAGAAAAAAATCCTTCGATTCGAGTCTTGGGAGCAACTGATGCTGAGACTTTACAAGAGTCCGCTCGAACAGACTCGGAAGTTAATGGTAGGCCATGGACCTGTAAAACAGGTGGCCTCCGGAAATTACAGTCCTTGACTATAGGATTGGAAGCTCTCGCTGGAGGGGAAAAAACAGGGAGCTTGTCCGAGGCAAAATCCTTCCCTTCCTGAAGAAAACGGGAGTGGGAGCTTGTTAAAAATGTGGCAGGAGAGGTGGACACATATACTAAGACAAAGGTAGGGAAGTTATGTACCCGAAAAAACAAAATCTCCATGAGTTCCTTTCCAACGTCAGGATCCGCCTTCGAAGGACCGCATCCACTGCAAGAAGGCAAGAGAAATTGGTGTGACATGAGTTGTGGGCATCATGCAGAAGTAACCAACCATTCTGCACTATTTACATTCACAAACCTAAGGGGTCTTCGAGGCTTCGCATCGGAAACACTGAGCACTGGAACACGAATCTGCCTTGGACATGGATACAACAACGCTGAAGACTGAGGGGAGACAGGATTGACTGGCCTGGGCCTCCTTCGTTCCAAAGTATCTACTTTCGTGTCGGGCATATTCAACAAAATGGTATGACTACACATTCCACAATACTTAACTGCCAACAAGCTAGTCTAAGCAGGCAAGAGCACTGTCGCATACCGACAGCTACGAGGGACTAATAAGACACCATGACTAGAGTAAAATCAATTAGTGGCTGATTTTGTGGTGAGCAAGAACATGAAATGGATGAAACCCTCATCTGATGTAGCAACTCCTTGTCTCTTCCAGCAAATTTCCGTTGCTAGGCCCAGACAGGCAAAGCCGGGTGAAGCCAGACGGAACTCCCTTCACTTTTCACACTCCCAGAACCGTTTGTTGCGTTGGAGCGTTTTGTGATTGGCGCATACATCACCTACTAGAAAAACACGGGCCGGAAATTTTTGTTTCCCGCACGCCTCACCCCCAAGGCAGCGACACGCTAGACGGTCAGAATTTTTGAAGCGCCACGTTATCCAGCCGATGTTACGGGATGGGAGGCCATGCTTTCGCTGGGCACCTCGTTTAAAAATCTCTTTTGGCGGCGGAACCTCCTATCAGGATCCAGCACGGCCATCATGGTTGCAGAAAGTGGCAGTTCCGAGTACGAAGGGTCAGGGCACAACCAACGCTTTGGCGCCAACCTGGCAAGATCTGGACACACGAACAACATTCATGCTCCTTCCAGAAATGTCGTTCAACGTCCCGAGAAAAAAAGAATCTGCCCAACGTAACGGAACGTCCGTCGTGCTCAACCTTCAAGCCATTTGAAAGGGGCACAAATATGCAAACATAGTAGTGGTGAGCAAACGAACCGCTGAATACCATACTAAACCGTTCTGAAGCTACTTCTAAAGGCTCTAAAACACGATTAGCGAACTGATTCCACACACTATTTGCCCGGAAACCTTCGAAAAATGCAGGTGTACCTGCAGCATGAAGAGGCACACATGAACTTCGTTGTGATCAAAACGGGGTATTGATAAAACAACCTGAATGTGTATTCTTTCCCAGAGGATACAAACTTATTCTCATTGGCCTTAACTGCATGAAGGAATTGGGCGTTTGTAATTATATGTTTTTAGATAGAGTTCATTGCAATTTATATACCCTGAATATTTTAATCCTAGCAATAAGAATCAACATTTTCTTTCACATGTACACTTACTTTGTACTCATGAGCCAGATGTGGGAAACATTTATTATTCATGGTATCATTAATTGTTTTCCACCTAAATCAAGTCCTCTGAAACTGAAGCTCTCTTTGGGTTGTAATAGGATATACGTTTAGTTAAGTATTTAATAGAGATGAAACTGTAGTGTCTCCCTTGGATATATATTTCTCTAATCGAGGGGCTGCTTTCCCAAGAGTGGCATTGTGGATGGTGCGTCATGTGTTGGCAAGATGATTGGTGCCGAAACACAGCTGACACCCACATTGCAGTTGAATGTGAGTGGGGCGTGGCATGAATGAAGATCTTCGATACCTGACCAATCACACAAAGCTGCTTATTGTTTCGCATGGGTATGATCGTGTATTACTTGCTTCGCGCCCACCTCAAACGTGTCTCTGGCTAAAAGTGATCTGGCAGCTGTGTGAGAGACATCGAGCTTGCGTCAGCCAACGGAACGAGGGGCTGGCGCTGACTCATGCAGTTCCTTAAGCCGTCCAATGAGAAGGACTTTCTAATAACATGAGAGATAAAGGACTGCTTTCTGCCCGTGTTATTTGTAAAGGGTTCTGGATTAGCAAAATGTGTGCGTCAAGCTAAAAACAACAATACATGAAGTCCACACTAAGGGAATTCAGTCATTTGTCTTGATTTGTTTCAGATTTTTTTTGCCATTAACATTTTGCGTGTCAGCCCGTACTTGTCACCCGTGCCGCGGGCGTCGTCCTCGATTCTCCTTTGCTGACCTGCATGACGCGGTTTATCAAGCCCTTTCTCTCCCCCTTCGCTTGCAACTTCACATCACGTTCATTCAACCTCCTTCCATTCCCCCAACGAACCAACCAATCCTCCGTCGTGCAGCTCGAAACCTCCGCCTCCACCCGTCTTTTCAGTGTCCATTACCATCTATTTCGAAACCCTACCCGCTTAGAGATCGCTCCACCCAAGTAGTTAGCGAGGTCGGGGATCGAGCTGCAGCTGCGTGTCTCCCGCTAACCCTACCGTCGTCGTACAATCAATTCTCAGCCGTTCTTATTTGTGGGAGGCTCGCTCAGCCTTGGCGATATACCCATTTCCTCGCCTTGTGATTCATCTCCATCGCCATGGCTGCCGCGTGGGGTGTTCAGGTTGGAACCATGACGTCCATTCCTTCTACCTCGATTTCTCAGTCTCGTCGCGATGTATTTTCCGGACCTTCAAGTCTGTCATCCAGCAAGTCTATGCCAATCTCAACCTCTCCAATTTCAATCAGAGCTCACCTGCCATCGGCGCACGGCTTGCTTCGCGGGTCGTTTGCGGGTCCCACGACCTGCCGCAACACCATATCATGGCAATTGGGAGTAACAACACCTCTAGGGCGTACCAGCAACACGACGCGGCGGGTTTTCTCGGTTCGAGCGGCGTCCTCAGGCGCCGCCACCGAAGAGCCTCACACTCGCTCCTCTTCCGCTGCTATGGAACGGACCGCCAACTCACTCTACGATCTTCTCGGCCTTTCTCGTCGCGACGCGTCCCTGGAGGAAATCAAAGGCGCGTACAGGATGCTAGCGCGGCGGTACCACCCGGACGTCCGTCCCGAGGGCCTTACCCTCGAAGAGTGCACACAGAGGTTTATCGAGGTGCAGGAGGCGTATGAGGTCCTCTCCGACCCGCAGCGCCGTGCTATGTACGACTTCGAGATGCTGCATCCGGCTTCCGCTAAGGCCGGCGCGCATCCGTGGAGAAGGGAGGCCGGCTGGCGACGAGGCGTGGCGCGTCCCTGGTCCACGGTGGACTCTCCGTGGCAGTCGCCTGAAGAGGAGGAGCAGATGCGCACGGCGTGGCGCGCGCAGTGGGGGAGTCAGCTGTCGGGCCTGAAGCAGCGGGCTCGGGCGCAGTCGAAACCTGGTTCGTGGGCTGCGCGCATGCGGCAGGAGCATGGAGGCGAATCCGCGTAAGCGGGATGTCTGATTCTTGTATATTTTTTCTCGTCGAGAGCGGGAATCGGTCGGCTGGCCAATCTTTTAGTGACTGACAACCAAGTGTTGCGGAACTTGTAGAAGCCCAATGGCTTCTAGCAGGCAGAGGTTGACTCTGGCAGCGAGGGAGAACTCTTGTCACATACTAGTGCTCCCCTTACTCCCACACGATAGCATCCGTTTGGTTTGACTGCCAAGTCCCCGGTTAGGTTCTAGGCAGGGCACGTGTACGTGGCTTGCGTTGTGTTTAGCTGGCTGGTTTGAGGGTGCTTGTTAGGTGAGTTGGCTTGGCTGTTTAGCTTGTGCATAGAAATCCTGTCAATTCTTATTGTAAATGCCCATGCAAAAAGCACTTTGCAGCTTATCTTCACATCCTACCACTATTCCTTCAATGCTTGCACACAGTCCAGATAGCCAATTTTGCACGGATCTAGCACAAGTGATTCTCCACCGCACCAAAATCCCGCTACGGTAATTGCATCCACAACCAACTTCCCCCCCATGGGTCTCAGGGTCTCTGCCAGAGGTGACGCATCCTTTTGTGCTGGCTAACGCACGTTAGGATACAGTATCTATCTCCGTATTGGATGTACATTCTCAAATCGACATCCTCGTTACAATTCTCTTGTGTTCACTCAAACATCAGGGTCGGGACCAGGCCTGTCGATTCAAGGGCATACCGTATGCCCTTAATGCCCTGAACATTCCGGGCTACTTTCGCTCCAGCTCGACTGCCAAAAGTGTTAGATTCGTACTGCACCCGTGCCACTAAGTGCCGTGCTCGACCCTTCCCCGGATGCGTTAAGGGCCCAAACCAGGCCTTCCCCTGTCTCGAAGTTTTGGTTTCTGGTTGTAGGACCCACCACCCCCCCAAATTCTGCCTGACCCCACCCCCTTTCTCCTTAGGTTGCACGAGAGGAGTGAATTTTTCCCTTAGCGTTTTCTAGCCAATCCTGTGTTGGTAAAGCGTCTACGGTAAGTCAGCTTGGAGCACCCGAATTGTCCCTTATTGTCTAAGTGTCCCCCCCCCCCCCCTTCCTCCTTGGGTTGCACGAGAGGAGTGGATTTTCCCTTAGCGTTTTCTAAGCCAGCTTGGAGCACCCGAATTTCCCCTTAGCGTCTGAGTGTCCCCCCCCCGCCCCCCCCCCCTTTCTCCTGAGGTTGCACGAGAGGAGTGGATTTTTCCCTTAGCGTTTTCTAGCCATCCCGTGTTTGAAAGTCAGCTTTAGAGCACCCAAATTTTCCTTAGCGTCTAAGTGCAAACTCTTTACAGGCCCGGATTTGAAGTTTTCACTTTGGGGTGCGCCCGTGACCGTTAAGGGCGCCCAAACGCTCAGCTACACCAAAAACAGGGTCAGATGGGGAGGAGCTGGGGAGCGCAAGTATGGGTCCCAGGAACTTCGACAGGCCTAGTCGGGACATCACAATTCGCTGGTAATACCAATAAAAATCAGACACATCAGAGTAAAACAGCAACACCATGAACAGGACATAACTGCGCAACTGAACACAACTAGCCCTCTGCATATGCAGCGATAGAGGAGCAGTCAAGATCCTGTATGCGGGCTAATTTGTAAGTGTTTGAATATACTGGTCCCTTGGCTGGCGCTTCGCCATTCCGGTTTATTGGTCCAGTCATGCTAGGTAATGGGAATATGAAGTAAGCCACGTTAACTAGGAAGACAGCAATGACAGCCCCGTTTCCATTAGCGCTACATGCAGCACTAGTATCTACGGTTGACCTAGTATCTATGCCGAGTCCATTCCAATGTGGAAGCTGCTGGATTTATCGGCGGCGAGAAGCAGCTTCTCCAAGACTAACTTGGAAACAGCTTCTACTTGATCGGAATAAGGACGTTGTCGATCTCGTAGCAGATGGCCGTGGGGTCCTTGTACAGGATCTTGGTAACATTCGCCAGCTCGTAACCCTGCTGAGCGAACTGAGGGCCAACTGTCACAGCGCCGGCCTTGGCGGGCTTGTACTTCTGGATCTGCCTCCCGGCGCCGCTGAAGGTGACGTAGCCCTGGCCGACAGCGTCCTTTGCCAAGCGCTGGGGAGTGGCCTGGAAGTTGAGCATGCCGAACTTGACCAGATCCTGGAGGGTTGCTGGGGTCTTGGCATACGGTTTCTGCGCGGAGAAAAGAACAAGGGCGGAATGCGAACACTCGGTGAATACGCAGAAAGGCATGTCTTTGTCAAGCACAGCGAAGTCGAAGCAAGTGGATTCCGAGCTTAGCGAAAAGAGACGATCGGGCGATCCAAGCAGGCGTACCAGGGAGGCGGGCTTGGCGGTCCTGAAGGCGGCGTTGGGCGGAACGAGGCAGGTGAAACCCGTGGTTGACGACGAGAGGTAGTCAGTGATCCACTTCTGCATACCTGCAAGTAACTCAGAAGACAGAAAGAAAATCAGGATAGTTCGCCGGCTCATTAGAAACCCAGAAGCCGCAGTCTGCCGGGAGTCCGAATTCACAAGAAAGACACAACCTGTGGGGAGGGAATCTTACCTGCTTTCTTCACGATGGCGAGGTAAGTGCTGTATTTTCCAGACTTTTGAAGAGCCTGGGTGATGAGAGTCCATTGGAGTGTGCCGTCACGATAGACCTTGGCCTCGGTGGTGAAGCAGGCGCATGACAGAGCCAGTACGAGCACAGCGATAGGAAGGAGTCGAGCCATTTTTTAAGGAAAAGCAACGGCGGACGTGTGCTTGGAAGGCGAGATACTAAACGCTGAACCTGGAAGGCGAAAACACTACCAAGAAGACTATATTCGAAGGCTGAAGAGAAATGTTTAGACAAGGAGGCGTAGAGGAGAGGCAGCTGGCTGTGTGCTTACCAGAATGATAACTGGCGGAATTTCTACTCCCTCCCAGAACAAAAATTCGTGGTCTGGAGTTGCGAGTGACTGCTGTGCTGCAAGGCGTTGCGTTGCGGCATTCTGGAAGAGCGTGGGAAATCGGTGTCGCGAGGTGAAAATTGCACACAGAATTGTCGCGTCGCATCCTACAGGGATTCAGACTGGGCTGTCGCGCGCCATATTGAAGGACCAACTTTTCTGAAATTTGCGACTTTCGCCATGCTGCTTGTTCTGTATGCTCAAAATTCGCGCGCCTGCTCAGTCGAGCCGCCTTCACGGCCCGCTGAAATCCAGCCGTTTATGATCTGATAGCCCGCGCGTTTTTATTGTCGCTGTTGCAGCTGTCGTCCATACTGGTAACCACTTGACCACGAGAAATAAACTAGTTGTTATGAGATGTACTAAGAGTGCGCGGAAGACTTTATAAAAATGATGTCGAATCCAGAATGTCAAGAATGATAAAGAGGCATGCATTTATAGGGTCGAAACCATGGTAGGCGAGGACCTCGGGACGTGGATGGGTTTGGAAGTGTCGCGATTGGTGCGGGGCGACTCGGGGGTGGTTCGGGCCGAAGTGTAGGCTGAACCTCGAAACTGACGCGAAGTGCTCGGGGTCGTCCTCGCTAGGAGCAGCCTCTACAGTAATGAATCCGTATTCATTACACTCTCCCACCTTCTAAATAAGGTGCCCTTATATGTAGGCGAGTCTTGCAGTAGCGTGAAAACTGCAGATCTCGGTCCAAAACCGATCTGACGGTGCGGAAGCATGTTGACTTTTGAGTTGACGCGTGGCTGAGCGCGTTGACCAGGCGAATTTCAAAGAGTTGGGATGTCAGCCGTTGGTACTGCCGATGTCGATCGGGCGGTTTGAAAGCGAATGTCGATTTGAAATCTTTCGACGAAGGAAGACCGTTGATGTCGCCGATGTGTATCGGATGGCTCTGATGAACGTCATGTCGGCAGGAAATCTGACGCGTTGTCAGAGATCGATGAATCTGGTGCCGTCGATGCCGATGAAGCCAACGCGTGCGTCCGTCGTGCTGGGTGTGTCTGACGATCTGTCAGAAATAACTGCCGAAATGTCAGAGACCTGCCAAGAACAGTGCGTGAGTACTCTTTCTCTCCCCCCTGGGAAGATAACTGCTGCCCACAAAATGTGCACAGCTGCACGGGCACAAAAACCACATCCACCCTGACGCAGAATACCAAGTATTATGGCTGTCCGCCTGAAATTCAGCCGCTGTGCAATCGAAATTGCTGTCGGTGGCGAAATTTTCTCTGTCGAAAATCCCGAAAATGTCAAGGGTAAACTCTGTTGAAGTCCCTTCGAAGTAATATCGTTTTTGCAGGAACTCGGCATGAAGAATTTCTTCGTGTTGTCTTGTTGTCACGACTATTGCTGCAGCATCCCTCGTGATTGCCACCTCGAAAACCCCCGCGTGGCAGTATCGAATCACTTGACTGCTGCCCAATCTCCAGTTGGCGGCTGCTGCAATCCTGAAATGCTGCCGTTTGTCTTGTTTGCAGGCGAAAATCCTCGCTGTAGCTTCTCCAGCTGTCGGTGCACCCGGCCGTCTTGTCCAGGCTCGCCGAGGCCCTTGTCGCGTTGCTCCGAAAACTCCCGGGCAGGGACGAAAACAGCTGCTGCTCTTCCCCCTGACCTCGCCAATATTTTTTCAAACACGAACTTGAACTGCCGATGACGTCAGCTGCATTATCGGTGTTGTCGTGACTCGCCGAAAACCTCCGGGCAGGGGCGAAAACAGCTGTCGCCTTCTTCCCCCCACCTGTTGCAAAATTGTCCCTCGTGTTGCGGCTGGTACCCCCGAGCAGCTTCCGATTTGAACGGCTACACACTTTGACGACGAGTGCCTTCGCGCGCTTAATAAAGCAAGACTGCAGTCGGCCGTCGGCACGGATACTGTCAGCGACCGCGCTGACTCCGTTAAAAACTCTTTTCGGAACTGCTCGTTGCACCCATAAATGTCGGAAATTTCCACACCACGTAAAGTCTTGGTCGCCTGCAGGCTGCCCCCCGAAAGAACCGGTGTGTCTAGCGTGCCCACCCGTCGCCATTTTTCTCTCCATGGTTAACCACACTAGCAACCCACCAACATGAGGTGCTCTTTCGTGCGAAACCCGGAGTCATGGGTCTACCGGGACCGAATTTCACGGAACCTAGCCCGCATCGACGCCGCAGATCTTGTCGTAGAAGTTCCCCAGCTGGCTTCGAGGTACACCATAAGCCGCTGAAACAGCTGGCGAGCAGACGTTCACCCGTCTCCCACCGTTGGAATAAAACCCTGAAAATCATGGTTGTTGAAGCAGTCCCGAAGTATTTTCCGCCGCATAACCCTGACGTTTCCGCCGTTGACCCTGGTACTCCGACGTCACCCGTCTTCGTACCCGTCGAAATTACTTAGCGAATCCCAGGTATCCTTGGCGATACACCGCTTCCGCGCCTCCATGTAACAATATCAAACCCTTTCGGGGGTCTACCGAATAGACTCCGAAATTCGCGGTGGATTGGTGTACAGGCTCAACCTTTCACTCTGGAGATCTGCTGGAGCACCCACAAATTTCCCTCCATTTTTTTTCCCACCCCCCGACAATTTCGCTTGCCGCCGTTCACCCAGCGTCCGCTTTTGTCAGATGAGGTTTAACTCCGTGTTGCCCGCGATTTTTCTGACATTCGGTGAAAGCGCGAATGCTATCGTAGCCGGGTCATGTTTATCGGATCAAACAGTCGGACCGGCCGCTTCGTTGCCCACCGCGTCTATCGCATTTAAAACTCCACGGCTTCGGAAAACCCCTTCTTCGCCGCTACACCATGTCGCGTAGACCGATGAACTAGGAGAAACTCCGACAGCTGCACCAACTGCTTCAGCTCCGACTTTTTCGGCGGGGTAACTGCTGCCGATGGTCCGGTTTTGTCGGGGCCGAAACAGTGTCGCTCCCATAAATTTTATTGTACGCCCTGCCGTCGAACCAGCGTCACCCGCGCCTTTCTAACCAGCACAGGGCTAAACACAGGGCCCCACATTTGGATCCAGTGGCCTATAGGACTACACCTTGCCTTCGAGGCCTTCTGGGCGTGAAGTATGTGAAACGTCGGTAGACTTTGGCCGGTAGGGAGCTCCTTCTGCTACCGCCGCTGAGCCGCAAATCTCGGCCTCAGCAAAAAGTCGTCGCATTAGGTCGTTTTCTCCCCTCCTGAAGCTCGGAATCCGTTTCTCTCGCCAGACCCGAATTTGTCGCAACTCAGTTTATTGTAGCCGGTAGACCTGGCGAAATTCGCGGGTCTAGTCGCTGCGGCAAACCGTTGTCCTCGTCGGTGTACTGCCCCGTCTACGACACAACTTCCCTTGATCAGGGGGAATCTGTGCCGCCTGAAGTACAGTGTCGGCTGCTGCTGTTGCTCCGAAGATTCCGGCCGACTTTGTTGCAGGCGCAGAAGTGACCCTAACGAAAACAGTCTAGTCGTAGGCGGCCTTTTCCGAACTTTTCGGCGGTTTGAAAATAACTTCCGTCCCACACTGTGCCGCTCCTGCCGAAAACGCCAACGACGCACCCTCCTGTAGCCACACCGGCCACACTCGGGCTGGAACGACGGTAGACCCCCGCTTTCTTCGGGTAGTTGTCACGCCGTCACTCCGCGCCGCTGCATTTTCTGACGCAAATCACCATGCGCCTGGCTGCTCGCACAGCAGTCGTTTTCCACGTGCTGCTACCCGAAATCTTCGCGCACAGTGACCACGATCGTCACTTGCCGAAGACCTCCAACGGACTGATGCGCGATGTGACGAAGATGCTCGACGCCACGTGCTGCATGCAATCCGTTCCGAAATTGTTGCGCGCAGTTGTCGACCACATGCCGACGCAACTCGCACGACGATCTTGCTTCCGACATCTTCGGACGTGCACTGACGGAGATCCTGTCGACGTCAGCTGTAACACAAATTAACTCCGAAAATGCCGAAACGAATACTGTTAATTCACGCATTAACTGCGACGACAGCAAAAGCTGTCACCCGGGGGGAGGGAGGCCACTGTCCATCTCGACCGTCGAGGGCAAGGATCCGTCGGTGCAGCAAGAGCGCCCGTAAAAACATGGCCGCTAGGAGCAACTATCCGTTCTCCTGGCCGGCTACTGCGTTGCTCCTGTCACCACGGCATCCTTCCCTGTCCCCCCCCCCGAGGGGTAATACACTCTAAACAACGGGAAACCTAGGAACTTAGGCTCTGATACCAGGTGTTATGAGATGTACCAAGAGTGCGCGGAAGACTTTATAAAAATGATGTCGAATCCAGAATGTCAAGAATGATAAAGAGGCATGCATTTATAGGGTCGAAACCGTGGTAGGCGAGGACCTCGGGACGTGGATGGGTTTGGAAGTGTCGCGATTGGTGCGGGGCGACCCGGGGGTGGTTCGGGCCGAAGTGTAGGCCGAACCTCGAAACTGACGCGAAGTGCTCGGGGTCGTCCTCGCTAGGAGCAGCCTCTACAGTAATGAATTCGTATTCATTACACTATTGAACTGAGTAATGCTCTATCCTCGTTAGAAACGTGAGACACATCTCCTGGCGTTTTGCTATTACGGTGAGGCACTTTTCTTGGGTAGGGAAAACATTTAACGACCTCATAATGATCAACTGGTATTAGGTCTCAACAAGCATGGGAGAATGCCTGACACAAGTTCCTCAGATGCGGTTCCCTAAGGAGTTTAGCTATCTATCTACACAGATCTACCGGTAGGAGCGGTAAATTATCCAACAGAGGTTTCCGCATGCTGAAGCCTAGGTAAAGCGGCCAGCGCGGTCTGCTAGGGTCGTGTGAGTGGCTGAACCTGCAATCCCCAGCATATTTTTATGAAGTATAATCAAGACACCTAGTGCAGAATGCTCGAGTGTGAAATGAAACGCAATTGATGGAGAGGGAACGATGAAAGGGTACAAAGGTAGGGGAGGCGGAGAACGATGCCGATGCACTTTAACGGACGACTCCTCAAAGAGCGTAGTGAGCCAAGCCCTTCTTGAGGTTCTGAGGATCCACAGAGTACGTGAGAATCCTGCCGTCCTGCAGACCCACTAAAATACACTCTTCCGGCGCCACATACAGCGATGTCACCGGCACACCCTGCCCGTCAAACCGAACGGTTTCTTCCAGCGTGAAAATCGACCGCACAACCACGCCACCGAACGAGCTCCCTCCCGTCACCAGGAATTCGCCACAAACAGTAGTAGCCATGGCTCCGATTCGCTCGCTCACATCCGCAGAAGCCAGCCATTCGCCGTTGATAGAAGCGGAGTGGAGCAAAAGGTCGGTTTCGGAGTAAGCCACGATGATCCCAGAGGTGGAGACGACTAGGCTGTGCACCGGGCTGCCTCTCTCCGTTTTCGTGCTGCTGCTGCTTTTCCCGCTTGCTGTGGAAATGGAACGGGGAGAGCCGACGGGCGATATGCTGAGGAGACGGCCGCTGGCGCTCGTAGTGAAGGTTTTCTTTGGTGTAGTACTGCCGGAGGAGTTGCCGCGAAGGGACGAGGAGGAAGAGGAGGTGGAGGGGAGAGCGAGTGAGCGCAAGAAGCGACCGCGGTGGAGAGTGTAAAGGATGATTGTTCCATCTGTGGATCCGCTGACCACGAGATCGAGCTCTGAGCGGACGGCAACGCACGTCACGGCGTCGTCGTGCCCGCACAGAACGAGACGAGGCTTGTCGTACACGACGTGCTCCGGGCGGCTGCGGGCGGTTCGCTCGACTTCCCAGACCATGACTGTGGTGTCGGCACTGCCTGTAACGATTGATGTGCCCTGCGCTGATACTGTAATGGAAGGCAGCGGGGAACGGGAAGCAGGGGAGTGGGGAGCGGGAAGCAGGGGAGCGGGAAGCAGGGGAGCGGGAAGCAGGGGAGCGGGAAGCAGGGGAGCGGGGAGTGGGGGAGCAAGGAGCGGGAATAGAGAGCAGGGGTTAGGGAGAAGGGAGTAAGGGGCAGGAAACAGGGAGTTGGGAGCACATTGGGAGGGGGAGGGAGAAAAGAGAAGGGTTGGAAAGGGACGTGTGTGCATTGGAGTAGGGCAAGGCATGGGAGTAGGGCAACGCAGGGCAAGGCATGGGAGTAGGGCAACGCAGGGTGTGGGTGGACGGTGTGGCATTGAGTTGAGTTCTATCCCACCTCCCCACCATCCCATCATCCCCCCATCCCCCCATCCCACCATCCCCCCATCACACCATCCCACTGAGTGCCCCCATCCCACCACCCCACCCCTCCACGCACCAGCGAGGCAGGTAACAACATCATTGTGAGCGCGAATGGTGCGCACAACCTTCCCATCGGACAGCGACACGCAGCGGAAGCTGTTGTCCCAGTGCCCGCACGTGAGCAGGTACGAGGGCGCCGAGGCAGACGCTGCCGAGGGCGGCTGTAGGATGTCGAAGCAGTTGGGAGTGGCCTCCACGCTGCTGGCGATGGGCGCTCCTATGCGGCGCAGGAAGATGGAGTCCCCAAAGCCGATGTAGGGCTCCTGGTTGGGAGAGGAACGTGGGGAGTAATGTTTTGAGAATGCTTGTAGCAGTTGGGAGTGGACTCCACGCTGCTGGCGATGGGTGCTCCTATGCGGCGCAGGAAGATGGAGTCTCCAAAGCCAATGTACGGCTCCTGGTTGGGGGAGGGGGGGAGAGAGATGCTTGAGATTGCTTGTAGCAGTTGAGGGTGGCCTCTATGCTGCTGGCGATGGGCGCTCCTATGCGGCGCAGGAAGATGGAGTCTCCAAAGCCAATGTTCGGCTCCTGGTTGGTGGAAGGAAGAGGTGGGGAGAGAGAGGAGCATGGGGGAGTGGGAGGGGGAGTGGGAAGAGGGGTGATGGGTGGGAGAAAGAAACAGAGTATGGGGAAAACGCTTTCAGGTGAGATGTGGCATATTGAGGATTGGAACAAGTAAATATAGGGAGGAAAGTGGGGAGGGATTAGGGAAAGTCTTGGTATCAAACACACCAACAGAGACACCAGCAGACACATCAGCAGACACATCAGCAGACACATCACCAGACACAACAGCAGACACAACAGCAGACACATCAGCAGAGACACCAGCAGACACATCAGCAGAGACACCAGCAGAGACACCAGCAGACACATCAGCAGACACATCAGCAGAGACACCAGCAGAGACACCAGCAGACACATCAGCAGACACATCAGCAGACACATCGGCAGACACACACAGCAAACACGCAGTCAAACAGACACACAAGCCAGGCAGGTAAACGCACCACGGATCCCGAGAAAGTGAAGGAGGCCCCCGACTGAGTATACGGCGATATCCAGTAGCGCAGAGACAGCAGCTGACCAGAAGTCAGCGTCACAGCCTTGCCATCCACCAGTCCCACAAACACCACCGACACATCCCCCTCCCCAGGCTGTCCTGAACCAGAAGAAGACAGCGACACACCCAGCCCCCCACCCCCTCCCCCTCCTCCTCCACTGGGGATAGACGTCAGGGCAGAGGAACCACCAGTGGAGGCAGAACCAGAGGCGGAGGAGGAGGCGGAAGAGGAGGAGGTGAGGACGGGAGGCGGGAGTTGCGAGGTGAGTTCGAGGGAGGACGGGGAGAAGAGCAGCGGGCGGAGGACGGGGACGGGGGGGCCTCGGCGCGGGTGTGGCTTGCGGAAGAGCTGCAGCGGCGTCTGGCCGAAGTTGGCGATCTGATCCTCCACTGAGGCCCGCTCAAAGGGGTTGGTGATGGCGTCTAGGTCGACCGAGCCCTCGTATGTGAGGTAGTAGAACACGTTGCCCGCCTGGGAGAGGGAGACAAGAGAATGGGAGGTCGCAAGACTTGAAGTTGGCGATTTGATCCTCCACAAAGGCCCGCTCAAAGGGGTTGGTGATGGCGTCTAGGTCGACCGAGCCCTCGTATGTGAGGTAGTAGAACACGTTGCCCGCGTGGGAGAGGAGGGCGAGGTGGGGGAACAGGGAGAATGGGAGGTCGCAAGATTTGAAGTTGGCGATTTGATCCTCCACAAAGGCCCGCTCAAAAGGGTTGGTGATGGCGTCTAGATCCACAGAGCCCTCGTAGGTCAGGTAGTAGAATACATTGCCCGCGTGGGAGAGGAGGGCGAGGTGGGGGAACAGGGAGAATGGGAGGTCTCAAGACTTGGAGTTGGCGATTTGATCCTCCACGGAGGCTTGCTCAAACGGGTTGGTGATGGTGTCTAGATCCACGGAGCCCTCATATGTGATGGCGTCTAGGTAGTAGAACACATTGCCCGCCGGGGGGAGGGGAGAGGAGGGAGGGAGGAGAGTGAGAGGTTTCAGGACAAAGTGGGTGTCTCGATCCACGGAGCCTTCATATGTGAGGTAGTAGAACACATTGCCCGCCTGGGGAAGGGGAAAAAAAGGGAGGGGGGAGGAATGATGATGACGAGAGCAATCAGGTTTGGCTGTGGCTCGAATTGTGAAGCCGAATTGTGAAGCCCTATCTTCAATCCCTATTGACTCCCCTCTGCGCCTCCTTGCTGGTGGAGGGATTGAAGACATACTGTCAAAGAAGAGGTCAAGCCACTCGTGCAGAACCTAACTGGCTTAAAATCCAACCATCCCGGCCCCGATCCTGACCCCGATCCTGACCCCGAACCTGACCCCGATCCTGACCCCGATCCTGACCCCGATCCTGACCCCGATCCTGACCCCGATCCTGACCCCGATCCTGACCCCGATCCTGACCCCAATCCCGACCCAGATCCACATCCCATCCCACCCCATCCCCAATTCCATCCCCGTCCCCATCTCCCAGCACGACTCACGTCAATGGCCTCCTGGCCGCGCTGGCGGAAGCCAAAGATGAGGTCGATCCACTCGTGCAGCCGGCTGCTCACATACTCGCACTCCAGGGCCTCCCTGCACTTGCGCACAAACGTCTCGGGGGAGCCCTGGTGGGGGGTTGGGGGAGAGAGAGGGGCGGGAAAGGAGGCGGGGAGGGACAGGCAGAGGAAGGAGACACGAGGGAGAGGGGTGAGAGGGGCAGGGTTGAGGGGAACAAACAAGAGGCAGCGGCTGCTCACATGAGTGTGAACACCATGAGCGGTTGGGATTGGGAGGCTTAAAGGAGCGGAAGGGTAAGAAAAGGCTGCTCACACACTCGCACTCCACAAACACTTACTCGTCACAAAGAGCTCATACTCCACAAATACTCACAATCCCTAAACCCCCATGTCCTCCTTTGGCAAATGGTGGCATCACCACAACCCTGAGCCCTTGACAGTCCAGTCCTCCCCACCGAGCGCCCTTCCAATCGTGCCCTTTTTCATCACACTCTGTGCAACGCCCTTCTCCTATGGCCTCTTCTCATCCCTTCTCATCCCTTCTCAGCTCCCTCAACGCATCCCCTCGCCCCTCCCACCTCCCCTCACCTCCCCTCACACCCCCCCACGTCACCTCTCCCCTCTCACCTTGGCCCAAGGCGGCAGCACCACATCCCCCAGCGCTTGCCCAAGTAGCCGTTCTTGTTGACCAGGAACTCGGGGTGGTAGTAGAACTCGGGAATCAGCTCCTCCCCTCACAGTGCCCCTCTCTCTCTCTCTCAAGACCGTGTCCCTCCTCACCTCGCTCGCCCATCTTGCCTCACCTCGTCCCCCCCTTCACCTCCCCTCTCTCACCTCCCCTCTCTCACCTCCCCCCCCTTCCACCTCCCCCTCTTTCTTCACCCCCTCATGGTCCCCCTCCTCACCTTGGCCCAGGGCGGCAGCACGACATCCCCCAGAGCATGCCCGTCCTGCCGCACGCCCAGAAAGTATCCGTTCTTGTTGACCAGGAACTCGGGGTGGTAGTAGAACTCGGGAATCAGCTCCTTGACGTCGCTGGTGTTGGAGAGACAGTTGGACCATGCTGATGCCACCGAGTGGAAGAGCCGATCCGCATGGTCAAACTTGCCTCCCTGGAAATGGGAGGGAGGGGAGGGAGAGGCGGAGGGAATGGAGGGAGGTTGGGCAAGGAGGGGAGGGGGGAAAGGGAGAAATGGGAGGGGACGGGAATAGACGAGCAGGAAAAGCCGCGGGGGAATGGGTTGACCGGGTTAGTAACAGCAGGGGGGAGAGGTTGAGAGAGGGGGAGAGGAGGGAGATGGTGGGGAGGGGAGGGGAGGGGAAGGGAGGGGGGGGGGAGGGGAGGTGAGACGTGAAGTGTGGCAGGCATAGGGGCTGCATTCAGCGAGACTTGAAGTGTGCCGAAGAGACAAACGCACAGACACACACAGACAGACAGACACGCACCTGCAGGGACACATTGAGCGTGGCAAAGGGCTCCATGCGCAGCAGGAAGAAGAGCACGATGCCCGCCACCCACCCACCCACACACACACACAGAAACAAACACCAACACACACACCCACACAGAGGCGGGCGCAGAGGCGGGCACAGAGGCACGCACACACCAGCACGCACCTGCAGGGAGACGTTGAGTGTGGCGAAGGGCTCCATGCGCAGCAGGAAGAAGAGCACGATGCCCGCCGTGGAGTAGTGCGACCCGTAGAAGAAGCTCGGGATGTCCGGATCCGCAAACCCGTGGTACCGGTCCTCAAACATCTGGGGTGGAGCGTGGTGGGGTGCGGTGTGGTGGGGTGGGGTGGCAAGTCGTAGTTTGATGAAACTCGTGGCTTCATTGAATCATGTTTTGAGTTTTTGCCAACACAAGTGATCCTGGGGAAATGCTGACCAGTGTGGGTGGGTAGTGTGTGATAGTACCCTACGCTACCCTCCCCTCCCTTTTTCTCTCCTCCCCTCACCTGGAACCTCTTCTCATCGAGAGCACCAATGGGCTTCGACAAATCCCTGAACGTATCCGGGTTGTTCAGATCCAGCTCCTCCGAGGTATAATCCGCAATCACCCATGGGAACACGGGGTACTGCATCAGGTCATTGTACGATCGCCCTGCGAGCGTGTTCAGCACCATGAGATACTCAAAGTTGCACATATCCCTCCTCCTCCACGCTGCCTTGGCCCTCTCAGCCAGATCCAACGCCCTCCTCTTATCCACCAGTAAAACCCCGTCCCAGATGCTCCCTCCCACGCCCGCGCCCCCACCTCCTCCCCCTGCCCCGCCTCCGCCTGAGCTGCTTCTATCCCTGTCCCCGCCTCTGTTCCGCTGAATCACATGGGTCAGATTCGCCAGGCGCGTAGCCACGTCCTTAGCATTAACCACCGAGGAGAAGTTGAGAAACACAGGGGCGTACGACGACGAAAAGAAGATTTCAACCGCAGAGAACCGCAGCAGATACCTCGTGATGTGGATCCGCTTCACAACAGCCAGCGGCCACCGTCGGTGCCGCTTCACATCATTGTGGAAATCCACGTTCTTCTGGTTGCTTGTCACCAGCTGCTCCAGCAGCTTCCCGGAGGAGCTTCGCGGGGACAGCAGCGCGAGCTTGGTATGCAGCCGCCGCCAACGAGACGCGGTGCTGGGAGTCGCAGGGACCGACCCGCTGCTGCTGCTCGTGGTGCTGCTGCTTCCGGTGATCATCCCCCCTGTGGGGGTTACAGGTGAGTTGGTCGCCCCCGACCCTCCTCCCGATCCAATCCCTGTGACGGAAATGGAAAGCGGGGTTTCCGGTACTGCGGGTGCAGGAGCAGTGGTGGCGGAGGCGGCAGAGGAGGCAGAAGAGAGGCCAGATGTCCCGGTTGCTGATGCAGCAGACGCAACCGCAGCAGAAGCAGCCGCGGTTACCGTCGCAGCCGTGTCGTGTCTCAGCTGCCCGTTCTGATCAAACACAGAGGCGCTCCCGTTCCCTTCGACAACAAACTCGGTGTGGAAATGCACCACGGTTCGCATGATCTCCAGCCTCCCAGCCAGCTTCCGCTTCGCAGTAACCAACACGCAGGGCACCGACATGAGCACCACATCATCTGCCGGCTCATCTGTCGACATCTCATCTCCCAACCCCTCCTCGAATTTGTTCACCTTCGGTGATCCCGCTTCTTCCTGCTCTCTCACTGCTGCTTCCTCCATTGCGTCGTTCTCCACATGAGCTTCCTCCGCGGCGGCTTCTAACTGCGCCTGCACCCCTCTTAACCCCTTCAGCAGCAGCACCGCCTGCTGCGCCGCTGTCTTAGTCGCAGTCAGCGGAGAGTTGAGATACCCCCCGCCAGCGAGAGGAGACAGAAGCATGGGCGACGCACCGCCGCTGCTGGGCGACTTGACAGAGGAGGGAGACGCGAGAGCGGAGGAGGTGGTGGAGGCGGAGGAGGCGGGGGTGCAGAGGACGGGGTTGAAGCGGTAGTTGGGGCGAAGGCGGAAGCGGCGGCGGATGGGGTCTTCCATTTTGTCGAGCTTCCAGCGCGCGGGTGCGTCTGTGGGTAGGCGCCCGGGCGACCACGCTCCCCGCTCGTTCGTGAGATCCCGGAACAGCTGGTTCCACCGGCCCTGGGGTAGAGGGGAGGCGCGGAGGGGAAACGGGGAGACGGAAGGGGGGGTAGGGGGGATATGGGGGAGAGGGGAAGGAGGAGCGGGGAAGGAGGTGCGAGGAAGGAGGAGGGGGTATTAAGATGGGGAGGATGGAATGGAGCCAGGAGCTGCTGCTCCTCCTCCTCCTAAGCCCACACGAACAGCACAGTCAGCAAGCAAGCAAGCGAGCGAGCGAGCGAGCGGGCACATGAGAAAGCAAGCAAGGCAGCACTCACAGCGAGGAACTGCTGCTCCTCCTCATAGCCCACGCGGACCGTAGCCCGTCTCTTGCTCTCCTCCGTGGTGAGCTCTGTGAGTATAGCGCGCCTGTGCTCCTCCATCGCCTCCAGCAGCTCTCTCTCCACCGCCTCCCTCTCCCCCACCTCGCCCCGCAGGGCCTCAGGGGCCTGCATGCGCCGCTCTCCTAGCACCTCCACCAACGCCTCCTCCTCCTTCAACTGAGGGGATTGGACAAGGGGGGAGGGGTTTGGAAGAGGACAGGGGAGGGATAGGCGGCCGGAGAGAGGCGGAGAGAGGGAGGGAGGCCAGTGGCCCTCCAGCGCTCCCAGGCGAACGCCCTGCACACCAAGGCCAGGGCTGGGATTGAGGCAGCACACCCCCAGATGGCAGCGGACCCCTGGCCGCTGCACCTGGGGGACATCCTCCACACGCTGGAGGGCTAGAGGGTCACTCAGGGGGGAGGGGAGGGGAAGAGGGGTGAGTTGATGGGCTTATGGGATTGAGGTTATCATGGATAGAACTGCATGTCTGTACCCCTGCTGAATTAATACAACGGACCATTTGAGGGAGGAACGGGGTGGGTGGGAGTCAACATGAAGCAAAACTTCCCGCTTCTGCTATCGATTCAATCAGTGCCTCCTACTCCTCCACGGCCTCCCTCTCCCCCACCTCGCCCCGCAGGGCCTCAGGGGCCTGCATGCGCCGCACCAACGCCTCCTCCTCCTTCAACTGAGGAGGGTTAGGGGAGAGGACAGGCGGGAAGGATTAGGGGAGAGGATCGGGAAAGGGGAGGAAGAGGATGTGAGCCAACAGAAAGCAAACCACTCCCCATTCACCAACTTTTCCACCCACCACCTCCTGCAATGCCTCCCCACTCACCCCCTCCCCCACTCACCCCCTCCCCCACTCACCCCCTCCCCCACTCACCCCGTCCCCCACTCACCCCCTCCCCCACTCACCCCCTCCCCCCTCACCCCCCCAACTCACCGCCTCCTGCACTCGATCCTGCTGCAGCAGGCTGTACACTGAGAAGTCCCCCACGCTGCCCCCACCGCCCGGCCTCCTCTCGGCTATCGATGCCACGAGCACAGATTTCGCTCTCTCCACCACCTCGCGGATCACCTGCGATGCTATGTGCTGCCTCGCGCCCGCCTCCCTCCCTGCCTCCCGCACTGCCAGCCGGTCCCGAGCCTGCTGCTCCAGCTTCTCCCGAGCCTGCACCAGAGCCCTGGAAGGGGGTTAGGGTAGAAGGATGAGCGGGTGGGAGCGGGTGGAAAAAGGGAGGGGAGGAAATAGAAACCACGGGAGAAATGCGAAATTGAGACAAACGAAGAGGAGGATTTGGAAAAGAGGAGGATTTGGAAAAGAGGGGCCGAGTGGAGGGAAAGAATGCAAGGAGGTGGAAAGGTAAGTGGCAAGTCAGCAGGAGGGAGCAACATAAGAGCGAGCCAGGAGGAAGGGATGGAGTGAATAGAGGGGCCATTAGACCGGACCAGCCTATCGAGCTGCAGACATCTTACCAGAGGAAGAGGTGCAGGTGGTTTCTGAGGGAGGTGGTATCGGCACACGAGTGCAGCAGCGCGGGCAGGATGAGAGCAAACTGCTGCATGCACTGCGACGTAGCCTCCAACTCCGCATCATAAAGATAAAACAGCACCAGCCGAAACGCCACATGCAAACAGTGCTCATTCCGCTGCCTCGTCGCCTTATCCCCCGGCCCCGACGCACCCCTCCCCCCGTCCGCACCCCCCCCACCCGATCCCACCAGAGCCAGCCCTGTCCTGCTGATTCCAGCTAGGGAGAAATAGCTCATGGCCTGCTGCTGCTGCTGCTCGAGTTGGGACTGGGAGTAGGCTGAGGCAGCAGGGTCTTGGGCGCCAGAGAGCACTGAGAAGGAGGCCCACACGCGGTCGAACAGGCGCCACCGCGCTGCTGCTTCGTCTGGTGGGAGCTCTGGCCGCTGGTGGTAGCGCTGCTGCGGTCGCTGGATGTCAGGGAACGTGCTCCTGGGGGAGAGGAAGACGGGGGGGGGGGGGAGGGAGGGGGGGGGGGCGAGAAGGGGGAAAGAGTGGGGGGAAGGGGGCCGGGGGAAGGGTGGCAGGGAGGGAGAGGGGAAAAGAAAGGGGGCAAGCCGGCCAGAAGAAAAGGGTAAGGGACACGAGGTAAGAAGATTTTATAGTCAAGACACGAATGGTGGGAGGTCTGGGCGCTGGTAGCACTGCTGCGGACGCTGGATGTCGGGGAACGTGCTCCTGTGGGAGGGGACAAGGTGGGTGGGAGAGAGGAGGGGCAGAGGGATGGCTTTTAAGACGTCTCTAAAATCGCTGCTGCGGACGCTGGATGTTGGGGAATGTGCTCCTGGGGGAGGGGGGCGGGAAGATGGGGGATGAGGAAGCCGGGGCAGAGGAAGGGAGAGGCGAGGGGGAGAGAGGGAATGGGGGGGAAGGGGGGGAGAGTAACGGGGCAAGAGGAATGGAAGGAAGAGGGGGAAAAGGAGGGCAGAGGCGGGTTAAGGGGTGGAGGTGCTGGCGGTGCTGCTGATGTGCTGTGGTTGCGGGATACCAGGGCAATGGAATGAGGGCTGTGCGCCAGGGAGGAGTGGGTGGGCAGTGGAGATGGGACAAGGGGGAAACTAGAAAGTAGGGCAGACAATACAGACGGGAGGGCATAGGACTGGGTAGAAAGAGATGGAGCGGTTAAGAGGGTCAGCTGAGCGGTTAAGAGGGTCACCTGAGCGGTTGGGAGGATCCGAGGTCCACATAGCCCCCTGACAATGTCTCCTCCTCCATCAACTCGTCCTGTTGCCATGGAGCAGATTGGTACACGACAGGATGAAACAGAACAGGAGCATATGACGGGATACGACAGGATAAGACAGGGCACGACAGGGCACGACAGGACAAGAGAGTATACGACGCAGAACACGTTTTGCACATGAAGTAGGGTGAGAGGCGAAAAAGGAGTAGTAGAGGGTGAGAGGAAGAAGGAAAAGGGTTGCAGAGGAAAGCTGAGGGGTTTTAGTGAACGTAAGACTGGGGGCGAAAAGGTGGGGGTAGAGGGGTGGGGGGCAGATGGGCGTGAGGAGAGGCCGGGCCGGGAAGGGGGGGAGGAAATGGGGGGAGGAAATGGGGGGAGGGGATGTTGGGTGTGGTATTGATGGAGAGGAGGAAAGGCGGAGTTTACTTTTGTGGCGCCTCAAAGGTAGGCGGAGGGGAAGATAAACCCTAAACCCTAAGTTCTTAGGAGGATAAACAAGAGTCGAGAGCAGCTGAGAACAGTTCCCAGTATTCTCATATGCCAAGCACCCCATGCAACACCACCAAAACCCATCCGCACCGCACCCAACCCAAAAACCCAGCAGCACAGCCCAAGCCCGCCCATTCCCACCGCACTGCACCACACAGCACCTGGAAGAGTTGGCGGGAGTCGTCAACAGTGCAGTCATCGAGCAGAGTAAGGAGGTGGGAGAAGTTGTCCCGGAGGGGAACAGCGTTCATGGTATCTTCGGAAGGGCACAGCACACAGAGCGCCTCAAACACGTCTGCTAACACTCGATTTGTCCACACCGACGCCTGTTGGGGAGGGGAAGGGAGAGGGGGAGAGGGGCGAGAAGGAGCACAGAGGAGAGGGGAATAGGGGAGGGGGATAGAGGAGGGGGACAGGAGCAGAGAGGGGGAGGATGGGGAGCAAGAAAGGTGGGCAATGGGAGGAGTGAGGAGGGAACGATGAGGGTGTTGCTGTGGAGAGGGACAGCGTTCACGGTGTCTTCTGAGGGGCAGAGCACAGAGTGCAGAGAGCGCACAGAGCACACAGAGCGCCTCAAACACAAATGCTAACAACCGCTTCGCTCACACTGATGCCTGTTGGGGAGGGGCGAGGGGAGGGGGAGGGGGAGGGGGAGACGGGGGAGAGAGGAGGGAGAAAGGGAAGACGAGGACGAGAGGAAGAGATGAGGGGAAATTGCATGGGAATGGATAGACGCAGGAGACACGGGGACGTGCTTAAAGAGAGGAGAGGAGAGGAGAGGAGAGGAGAGGAGAGGAGAGGAGAGGAGAAAAAAGGAGAGCGGATGGCGTCACTTCCATGCTACTTGGAGACGTTTCAAATAGGTGCATGTCAGGATTCAGCACACCTGGTCAGGGCACAGCCGATTCAACGCACCTGGTCAGGGCACAGCAGCTGGATATAGGTGATGGTGGTGGCGATGTGCTCTGCGCCATTCTTGAAATACATCAGCGCATGCGCATGCAGGCACTTAAACAGCTGCCAGATCAGCTGCTCCTCCTCGCTCTCCCCCTCCATCTCCTCCTCCTCATCCATCATCCCCGCCTCATACTCATCCAACTCCAAATCCTCCTCAAGAATCACCCCGGAGTCCTCCCCTTCGCCGCCCATCCCCATCCCGTCGCGCTGCCCGCTCGTCACCGCGAGCAGCACCATAAGAAGCCAGTCCTGCCACCCCACCTGCTGCAGAAACACGCTCATGTTCGAATCATCTGAATCCAGCAGAACGAGCAAATCCCGGAGCACGGCGGTGCGGAGATCAGGCGTGCAGGCGCGGAGTAAGCGCAGGACTACTCGTAAGACCTGGGGGACCACCATGATGGCTACAACGCCGCTGCTGCTCCCCCCGGCTTCTAGGACTGCTGTTCCTGCTGAGTCCCGGAGGCCTTCTTGGAAGCGACCTAGCCCGCTCTTGTAGAGATTCGACCACTTGCGCATGGCCTGGTGGGAGGAAGTGGGAGGAAAGGGGGAAGAGGAGGGGGGGGGGGGAGGGGAGTTAGTGTGGAAAAGAGCAGGAAATTTTTGAAGGAAGAATTGCACAAAATGGAAACAGGTATTGGAAACTTCTCACAAGCAGGCGTCGAAAAAACATAGGGAGTTCATTTGAATAACGCAGGAGGGGAGGGAAGGAGAGGAGGAGCAGAGACAGAGAGGATCAAAAGGTGGAGGGCACGGGAGGAGATGAGGACGGTACACGCGGAGGGAAGAGCTGGCAGGGTGCTGTGCTGACCTCTTTGGAACTTGCTCCCCCCAGCAGCACATCAAACAGCGCAGCCCGGGTAGCCGGCGAGAAGGGAAACGCAGAGAGCGACGACTCTACATGCGTCCACAGCGTGCGAGCATACGACTCCTCCATGGCCGCCGGTTCCCCCCCTCCCGCACTCTCAAACGCCTCCCTTCCCGTGCTCGACGCCCACGCGTACGCATCCGCTCCCGACCTCCTATCCGTAGGCGTTGCACTGAAGATAGTGCCGAGGAGACGTAGACCAAGCAGCCGCACGCCTTCCAGAGAGCGGGTCATGAGGGAGAGGAAGATGTGGCAGCCTCCGATGGAATGCACGTGGGAGAGGACGGAGGAGAGGCAGGGGGTGCGGCCGAGGAGACCCAGCATACAGTGTAACACGTCTTCCATGGCGACTATATCCTTGCTTGTTTCCAGATACGCCACGACGGCTTTTACTTCTGGCAGGGAGAGCCCGTCGCGAATGACTCGGTCTGCTAGCCCGAGCACGAGCAAGCGAAGCTTGGCGATTTCGGCCGAGCTGGGCCGAACGGCGATGACGGAGCGAGTGACGGGGTGCACGAGGGGGCGCGTGCCGATGGCGTGGGGGCCCTGCGCTTTCTCCCAGTAGAACTGCCGCACCATGTCGAGGAGCCGTTGGAGGGTGCAGAAGGCGCGGAGACGCGCCGGCTCTCCTTCTTTCTCTAGCAGTCGCAGCAGGGATGTGTAGAGCTCGTGCTGCACTGCGTATGAGGTGTAAATCCAGACCATCGGATCGAGATACAGCCGGCAGATGGCATCGACGGTGAGGATCTCAGCGAGGCCTTGGTCCGTGCCGCGCTCGTGGGAGATACACCCGACGAGATTCTCCATTGCGAGAACGAATTTCACTGAGAGATGCTGCGGAGACACGCGCTGCAGGAGGAAGTTTATCACTCCGAATCCGTGTGCGGAGAGCATGTACTGCTGGCTTGTGCGGTTACCAGCAAGAACCGCCGTGAGTAGCCCTATCACGTCGAGGGCTAGATGCGGGTCTACGCCTGCGGGAGGCTCGTCTTTGAAGCGGGAGGAGCGCTGCGGCTGGTGCTGGCCTTCCACGGGCTGATCCAGCTGGGTGAAGAGAGGGAAGAGGACCGCGATGCCTCCCACGCAGTTGATCACGTCCTGCACGCGCTGCCGCGAGCACAGCTGCACGCCCGGCATGATGGCTGCCGTGTCGCAGAGCGGCGCGTCTGAAGGTGCGTCGAGGATGGGCGCAGTGTTGAATATGGTGCGGCCCTGGCTTGCCTGGGAGAAGGGAGGGGGGCAGGGGGAGGAGAGGGCAGGTGGGAGAGGGGGGGGAATGGGGGGGGGGAGGGTGTGAGTTTCGAGAGGTCTCAAGGAGAGTTGCGGCTGGTGCTGGCCTTCCACGGGTTGATCCAGCTGGGTGAAGAGAGGGAAGAGGACCGCGATGCCTCCCACGCAGTTGATCACGTCTTGCACGCGCTGCCGCGAGCACAGCTGCACGCCCGGCATGATGGCTGCCGTGTCGCAGAGCGGCGCGTCGGACGGCGCGTCGAGGATGGGCGCTGTGTTGAATATGGTGCGGCCCTGGCTTGCCTGGGGGAGGGGAAGAAGGTGGAGTGGGGAGAGGAGGGGCAGGTGGGCGATGGGGTTGGTTGAGTTTTGAGATGGCGGACGGCGCGTCGAGTTGAATGTGGTGTGGCCCTGACCAGCCTGGGGGAGGGAGGGTGGGGAAGGAGCGCGCCATATGAGAGAGACCAAGGAGGGAGAACTTAGGGATGGGTGAGTGCGGGTTGGCATGAGGGCACAAACAGACGCACCCACAAACACACACCCTCCGCATACCCACATCCCTCACTGCAAGGCGGGCTGGTCCACAACATGCCACGCTATGACTCACCTCTCTCACATCACATCACCCATCTCAACACTCACCTGTGCATTGAAGCTCGCAACGATCTTAGCAGACAGCCCATCCTTGGAATCCGACAGGATCTGCGCCGCGGGACCTTCCTTGGGCAGCCCGGATTCCCCGGGCAGAAACGAATACATGTACCCAGGACCCAGCAGGTAAATCCCCTCCACTTGAGAGGACACTAGCGCGTCCTCAAAGAGGTATATCGGACCGATTTGGCCCCGGAACGCAGCGGAGCGGCGGGGGGGAGGGGGCGCGTGCGTGGGCATGCGGAGGGCGAGAACGGGGTCTTCTGGTAGAGGCACGGCAGCGGCTATAGTGCATTCCACTAGCGGGTCGTAGATCTTGGGGTAGCTGCACGGATGGGTGGGTGGGTGGGTGGGTGGGTGGGTGGGTGGGTGGGTGGGTGGGTGGGTGAGTGAGCGTACAGGGAAGGGGAGGGAGGACAGTTGATGGGGGTGGGATGGGGAGGGATGGACTCCAGGCAGCGGCTATCGTGCACTCCACTAGCAGGTCGTAGAGATTGGTGTAGCTGCATGGGAGGATGGGCGAGCAGGGGAGGGGAGGGAGGACGAGGTGGGTCGAGGGGGTGGGATAGGGAGGGTTGCAGGACTCCACGGCTATAGTGCAATCCACTAGCGGGTAGTAGATCTTGGGGAGGTTTTTGAGGCGCCTCAAAAACCACCTCAATGCATGGGGAGGGTTGCAGGACTCCACGGCTATAGTGCAATCCGCTAGCGGGTAGTAGATCTTGGGGAACTTGGATGGATGGACGGGATAGGGAGAGCGGTGGAGAGGAGTGGGGAGGGGCGGGGAGGGGCGAGAAAGGGATGGGCGGATTGAGTTGTTTCTTGGGTTGCAGGACTGGAAAGGAAGGAGAAAAGATGAGAGTACAAGAGATTATGTGATCCGCAAGGCCCATGCCATCCATCACCATGCAAACCCCATGCAAATCCCATGCAGACACCATGCAAGGCAACGATTCTCTCCACAAAGAGGATCCTTGCCTTGCATGGCGTCTGCATGGCGTCCGCATTGCAGGGGAGAAGCCAGTGTGCTGTCCAGAAAGAGGAGCAGCGTGGCAGTGGTGGCAAAGGTGGAGAGTGGCGAGGCGAGGTGAGGTTCGGTGAGGTGCCAACACGGTGCAAGCACCGCACAAGCAGCATGCAAAGCACATTGCCTCTGTCTCTCTCCCTCTCTCTCGCACCCTCCCTCACCCCATGCGGCCGGTCTCAATGAGCTTCCCGTCCACAATGGGGCGCAGCGTGGCAGCAGTGGCAAAGGTAGTGAACGGCGAGACGCTCACACTTTGCACGCACCATGCAAATCAGTGTTTCCCTCGACACCTCCCTTTCTCCCACCATCTCACCCCCCCTCCCCACTCACCCCATGCGGCCGGTCTCGATGAGCTTCCCGTCCACAAAGAGGCGCAGCGTGGCGGCGGTGGCAAAGGTAGCAACGGAGTGAGAGATGGCGATGTGGTACCAGCGCTTGGCATGGAAGGGGTAGTTGAATATGAACTCGGGCTCCCTGCCCCCACTGCCTACCGGCACCTACGGGATGGGAACGAGTGGGAACGAGAGGGAACGAGTGGCAGGGGGATGGGAGGAGAGGAGGCAGGCACGGGCACAGGGGTAGGGGACAGGGTGGGGTGTGAGATGGCGATGTGGTACCAGCGCTTGGCATGGAACGGGTAGTTGAATATGAACTCAGAATCCCCTGGCCCCACTGCCTGAGGGACAGGACAGGCGACACAGTGTGAGATGGCGATGCGCTGCCAGCGCTTGGCATGGATGATAGTAGATCATCAAGCTAATAGATCAAGGCGAACCCACCTCACCCTAATAGATTCTGACTTTCCCGCCTCACCCTTTCACCATCTCACCCTCTCCCTCCCTCACCCCTTGCCCTCCGCCATTCCCCCATTCCTTCTTCCCCCTTCCCCCTATCCCCTCACCTGCACAATAAGACTGCTTGGGCTGATAAGCGCACTGCACCCCCTCTTGAACTCAGTCATAAACCGGAACAGCCCCATCGCCCCATCATACGGCCCATCCGCCACCGTCCCTCCTGCCCCCTCTCCCCCACCACCTCCCCCCACTCCCCCACCCCCTGCTCCCCCTCCAGGCTTCCCCCCTTTCCCCGCATCCCCGCTCGTGCTCGAAACAACAGTCGCCGGAAACGCCTCGACCCGCAGCCAGCAGCAGAAGGTATACCCTCGCGCCGTTGGAAACCGGAACGGCCGCGCGGCCGCGTCAATCCCCGAGTTCTTCCCATTGAGCTCGAAAAACACCGGCGGCCCGTCGTCCTTCACGAGCGCCTGCAGCGTGCGGATCAGCAGCGTGGCGTGCCGCGGCCGGCACCCATCCTTGGTGCTTCTCAGCAGCGAAAAGATCGCGCTCATGTCCTTCCCTCCGATGCTATGCCCTCCGACCGCCTCTAACAACCGGCCGATCTGAGCGAGGGTGTTGTCGTCTTGGACTTCCGGCATCCAGTTGAGGAGCAGCCACATAAGGCCCGCGCGCACGCAGGAGGCGCAGTTGGCAGTGGAGGAGGCGACCAGGCCTTCTAGGGTTTCGAGGCCCTCGCCTACTAGGTGCCCGTCCGCCTTGCGGAGGAGAGAGATGAAGAGCACCACTGCATCCTCGTTCTGACAGGGTGGGAGGGAAGGGGGGGGAACGGGGCGGGGTGACATGGGCGGGAGAGGGAGGGGAAAGGGAGAGCGGAGGGCAGGTGCTTGGAGATAAATCAAGATCACCACTGCATCCTCGTCATGGACCGGATGTGACAAGGAATATGGGTGGAAAGAGGAGCAAAGTGGGATTCCTCACGCACAGACAGTAGCAAATCCCCACTTCCCTGTCCCCTCCCTCCGTCGTCGTGTCTCACCTGAATGAGCATGTTGGTCCGGGGAGCGAAGCTCCCATCCACAACAAAGTCCATGACGCACAGCAGCAGCTGCCCAGTTGGCCGGCCCCTGTACTGCTCCAGCAGCATCTGCGACAGCCGCGCATACCCCGGGTCTCCCAGCCCAGCCGCCTCACAACCCTCTCCTCATGACAACACATTGCGCCCCCCTCCTGCTGAGACACCCCACACACACAGACAGACGCAAAGCACCCCCCTACCCACCCTCCTTTTCCTCGCTACCCTCCTTTCCCCCCCTCGCCTTCCCCTTCCCCCAGCCGCCCTCCTCTCTCACCTGAATGAGCATGTTGGTCCGGGGAGCGAAGCTCCCGTCCACAACAAAGTCCATGACGCACAGCAGCAGCTGCCCTGTCGGCCGGCCCCTATACTGCTCCAGCAGCATCTGTGACAGCCGTGCATACCCCGGGTCGCCCAGCCGCCGCATGACTGCTTTGGCTGTGTCGTTCCCGGCGAGCAGGCGTGTGAGCGTGCGCAGGACTTGCAGGGCGAGCTGCTGCCCGTCTGCCGGCTGGTAGGTGCCGTTGAGGAGCGAGAGGAGATGCAGCCCGCACTGCGCGTCCAGAAACATCTCTTGGAAGCGCTGGGACGGGGAGACGGGGGGAAAGGAGGGGGACGGGGGAGGGGAGAAGGGGGAAGGGGGTAGGGGGAAGAGTGGAAGAGGGGAGGGCGGGAAGGGAGTGTTGAGAGACCTGGAAGCCGCCGCATAATGGGTTTGGCAATGTTGATCCCGGTGAGAAGGCGCGTGAGCGTGCGGAGTACTTGCAGGGCGAGCTGCTGCCCGTCTGCCGGCTGGTAGGTGCCGTTGAGGAGCGAGAGGAGATGCAGCCTGCACTGCGCGTCCAGAAACATCTCTTGGAAGCGCTGGGACGGGGAGTGGGAGATGGGGGAAAGGAGGGGGGGAGGGCGGGATGGAAAAGGGGGGGGAGAAGGGAGTAAGGAGATGGGGGTGAGACGGGGGTGGGAGAAGGGGAGAAAGGGAGGCGGGGGAGAAAGAAGGTTGGGGGAGCAGGTTTTGAGTTGACTCGTAGTGAGGGGTGGCGAGATTTGAGCCGTCACAAAACGAACTCATAACAAGCAGAGCAGGGCAGAGTAGAGCAGAGAGCAGGAAGCAAGCACAACAACGGGTGGGTGGGCTCACAGGAGGGTCGAAGTCGACGATATGGCGCAGGGCAATGAGGAGGTCAGCCAGCACGGCGACTCAACACACGCCTCTTATCACGGGGCGGAGAGCAGCAGGAGCAGAGAGCAAGGGCAGAGCAGAGAGCAGGAAGAAAGCACGGCAGTGGGTGCGCTCACAGGAGGGTCGAAGTCGACGATGTGGCGCAGGGCAGTGAGGAGGTCAGCCAGCACGGCGACCCCGTGCGTGTGGCTGTCGCCCTTGGCGTGCGCAAAGGCCTCCATCAGCCGCGATACAAACACCGTTCCCTCCCCTGCTGCATCCGCCTCCGATACCTGCAACGGGGTTGGGGAGCGAGAGAAAATGGAAGAGGAGAACAGGGTGGGGGGAGGGGGAAGGTAGGGGAGGGGATGGGGGGAGAGATGGGGGTGGCTAAATCAATCAAGCACTACCAGCTTGACTTCCAACACCACGCCCACCAGGGCAGCAACTTTTACCAGTCGACTCGACCAACAAGCAACGAGCCACACACACATGCACGCGCACACTGATATACACACACACACACATACACACACACTGCACACACCTTGATGAGCGAGATGACGAGTCGCAGGGCCATCGACCAGGTCTTCTGCTCCACCACCAGCTTGAACACCGTGTCTGCCAGAGCAGCACAGTCGCCTCGACTAACAAGCACACAGCCCCAGACGCATGCATGCGCACAAGCACACGCACACAGAAACACACACATGCACACGTACACACCTTAATAAGCGAGATGACGAGACGGAGAGCCATGGAGCGTGTCTTTTGCTCCACCACGAGCTTGAACACCGTGTCGGCCAGAGCAGCGCTGCGCGACGCTGCTCGCACCACCGTGGTGGACGACCCTAACAGCGCCTCCAGCAGAGTGAAAATCGCCATTCGCACATTCCACGGCACCTCGCTCGGTGCCTTGCTGCTGCTGCTCCCACCGCCACCGCCGCCGCTGGTGTTGCTGCTGCTGTTCATGGCGCCGCTGCTGCTGCTGCTGCTGGTGAGGGCGGTGTTGGCGTCGCCTGGCCGGCTTCTGTCCGCAGCACTGGCGCTGCTGCTTCGCTCCACCGCCCCGTCTCTGCCTCCTCCTCCGCCGCCTCCAAATCTCTGCATGCTGCTCCCAGGACCAGCACTGAGACCAGAACCAGCACCAAACCCACCAGAAGAAGCAGCAGAAGAGCCAGCGGCACCAGCGCCCCCCTCGCTGCCTGCCCCTCCTGCTGCGTCCCCTGAAGCTTGTGGCATGGAGGGCGGGAGGGGCAGGGAAGACGAGGAAGAGCCGCGTCTGGATGGGGGGAGGGGGAGAAGAGAGCCTCCTCCTCCTCCTGCTCCCCCAGACCCACTCGCTCCAAACCCACCTCCCCCTTGACTACCACCACCACCAGCTGCACCAGCAGCAGCAGCGCCACCAGCAGCACTTGTTGTTCCGCCTCCTCCACCCGTAATCCTTCCTTCGGCAGAGTGGGATCCAAGGAGAGGGGACGTGGGGCGGGGAAGGTGGTGGTGCTGATGATGATGATGATGCGAACCCCCACCACCACTACTGCCAGACGAAGAGACAGCACCAGCACCAGCACCTCCCATAGGGGCGAATGAGAACGGGAGGGAGGCGGCTGGAGCAGCAGCAGCAGCGGGGCGGTACTGCTGCTGACGTGTCATGATCGCAGCGATTGTGGCGAGCGCATCGACGGCTATGATCGCTTCGACAAAGAGATCTCCCACGATCTGCTGCAGGCGCTGGAAGCAGCGAGCCAGCATGACACATGCTGAAGCGCAGATGGCAGCCTGCCGCAGTGCTGTCAGCAGCGCTGCACACTCAGGCTGCAACCACCAGGGGGACACAGGAGGAGGGGAAAAGGGGGGAGAACTTCATTTTCTGAGGAGCCTGAAAGCAGACTGCTGCAGGCGCTGGAAGCAGCGAGCCAGCATGACACATGCTGAAGCGCAGATAGCAGCCTGCTGCAGGGCCATTAGCAGCGCCACACACTCAGGCTGCAAAGACCAGGGGGACAGGGAAGGAGGGGAGGGGGGACCTTTATTTTCTGAGGTGCTTCAAAGAGAGACTGCTGCAGGAGCCGGAAGCAGCGTGCCAGCATGACACACGCCGAAGCACAGACGGCGGCCTGCCACAGTGCTGTTAGCAGCGCTGCACAATCAGGCTGTGGAGAACAGATCAGGTCAGGCGGAGAGCAGGCAGGAGGGGGACGGATAAAAGGAATAGGGAGGATAGTGGGGAGGAGAGGAGATAGACCGACAGGGAAGTAGGCGGAAGTTGATTCTTGGGCATTTGAAAACCCAGCTGGTTCCTAACGATTATGCATAACTAGGAGGACAGGGGCAGCACTGGGAGTAACCATCAATGGGGTGGCCACCCACCTCCACATTTGCCAACCCATCGAGCGATGCGGCAACTTCCAGGAAAGCCACCACGTTCATCCGCAGCGTCTCGGCCTCTGTACTCTCCCCCACAGCCACATACTCCAGCGCTCCATCCGCTCCCCCTCCCCCTCCCCCTCCGCCCAAGCCTCCCTCCCCCCCGCCCCTCACATCCAACCCAAACGGGTGCAAGAGAGGGGACAGCATTCTGCTACCAGCCACATTGGCAGCGGCCACACCATGCGGATCAACCGCAAAGATAGACGGAGAGTTAGGGCGGGAGGTGGACTTGGTGCCTGAGGAAGGGGGGAGGTTCGGGGAGGCGAGGCGGCGAAGGGCCCGTGCGGCTACTGTACCCACCCCGCCTGCTGCTGCCATGGCTGCTCCTGTGAACTCCTCAAACTTGCTCGCCTCGTAACTGCTGGAAGTGCTTGGGGACTTGCGCATGCGCGGACGGCGATCGCCCGCAGCTGCAGGAGCAGCGGCAGCACCACCAGAGGCTGCTGCTGCGGCGGCGGCAGAGGCGGCAGCGATCGCAGCGGCTGCGGCTGCTGCTCCTGCGGATCTGGAAGCAGCGCTGCTGGCGCCGCTGCCGCTGCTGCCGCCAGTGCTGGTGTCGTAAGCAGCAATGGCTGCGGCTGCTGCAGTCTCGAGAGAGGAAGAGCTGGAAGTGCTGGGGGATTTGAACAGACGAGGCCTGGGGCGAGCTGGGACTACCAACCCCCCGTCTGCCTTTCCTGCTCCTCCTGCTCCTCCTGTTCCTCCTGCCCCTGCTGCCCCTCCTGCTCCCCCTGCTCCCCTTGCTCCTGCTGCTCCTCCGACTCCTCCTGCTGCTTCTCCTCCGCCCTCCAACCCAAACCCTAACACCAGCCCCCCTCCAGTCGACCTCCGCCTCACATGCTTCCCCTTCCCGTCCCCTGCACCCGCTTCCCCATTCCCAGCCGCCCCGCGCCAAGAAAAAGGGTGCGCAAACCCCCCGAACGCACCACCACCATGAGTCGACGGGGCGCAATCCGCAACAGTGGTGGAGTCAAAGAAAAAGAACCGGTCAGAGAAGAGAGTCGGCCAGGCACCAGCATCTCGCAGCAACTGCAGCGCTGATGGCGACTCGCCCAGCACCCTCCTGAGAATAGACAGCACGTGGCACTGGAGCGTACAGGACGTGTTTCGGAAGTAGTCCTGCAGTGCTAGGTCGTCCATGCTCATCACCTCGCCTGCTCCCCCTCCCGGCCCTGACTTCCCCTCGTGTGGTAACCGGAACGTGTCTAGGAGAGTCTCTACAGCGTATCGCTGCCCCATGCTCCAGTAATCTCCCACTGACTGCCCTCCTCCTCCTCTCGGCGTTCCTGGTTCGTTCCCCGTGCCGTCCCTATCCCCCGCTCCTCCTCCCCCCCCTCCTGCTCCTGCTCCTCCCGTTCCTCCTTCTCCCGTTCCCCCTCCTCCTCCGGCCTCCGCCCCTTCCGCGTCTCCCCTTCCCCTGTCTCCGCCCTCCCCATCCCCGCCCATCCCTACCCCATCCGCAGCCTCCCTAGCCCACCGACCGTACTTCCCCCACAGGCTCACACCACCCCACTCTGCAATCTGCTCCTCTGTTGTATCCCCTTCAAGCAGCAGCGTGCATAGTAGCCCACTAGCCGCCGCTACAGCAAGATTCCACGCCCACACCTCCGAATCCCCCACAGACGGCCGAGAGCGCAGCACCCTCACTTCCCTAATCAGCTCCTGCCCTAGCGCCCGCGCAATCATCCATTTCTGTTCCTCCCCCCACACCATCTCCCCCTCCCCCTCATCCTCATCTTCCCCATCGAGCCCGTCACCGTCCCCACCCCAATCCCCCCCGTATCCTCCTCCGCCGCCTCCTCCTCCCCCGCCCCCAGCCCCTGCTCTTCCCCTCTTCCTCGCCAGTCTCAAAGACCCCACCCTCCGCACATCAATCGTGAGAATGGAATCGGAGGTGCAAAGGAAGGAGGAGGCGGGGAGAGGAGGCGGAGGCATGAGGGAGCTTTCCGAGGAGGAGGGGACAGGGGGCGCGGAGAAGGTGCGCGCAGCCCACTGCAGCAGGCGGGAGACGCGGGGGAAGAGCGACAGGGAGTGCAGACGCGCGAGACACGTGGGGGACGCGTAGCTGGTAGGGGGAGGAGGGGGAGGAGCAGGGAGAAGAGGTGGGAGAGGGAGGGGAGGAGAGGGGAGGGAAAGAGAGAGGGGAGACAGATGGAAGGAGTCAGGAAGAGGGAGAGAAGGGTGAGTTCACGTGGGATAAGGATGGGGAAGCAGAGCATGGGCTTGGTGTAGAGGATGTGAACGGAATGAGATCGGGTAGGTTAGTGTGCCTGATACACGGCGCCTGTGCACAAGTGTGGTTATACATGTGCTTGTGAGAGAGTGAAGCATGGGATAAGGATGGGGAAGCAGAGCATGGGCTTGGTGTAGCGGATGTGAATGGAACGAGATCGGTGCCAGATCAGGATAGGGTAGAGGAAGATCAGGATAGGGTAGAGGAAGATCAGGATAGGGTAGAGGAAGATCAGGATAGGGTAGAGGAAGATCAGGATAGGGTAGAGGAAGATCGGGATAGGGTAGAGGAAGATCAGGATAGGGTAGAGGAAGATCAGGATAGGGTAGAGGAAGATCAGGATAGGGTAGAGGAAGATCAGGATAGGGTAGAGGAAGATCAGGTAGGGTAGTGTGCCAGTGCCTGATACACGGCGTCTGTGCACACAAGTGTGGATATTAATATTCTACATGTGCATGTGAGAGAGTGAGTAACAATTTGAGTGCTGCACACCCATATCACCACTCACATGCGCCCATCTCACCACAAACACACACATGAATGCAATGCAAGCTCATCTCACCACACACACACACACACACACACACACACACACACACACACACACACACACACACACACACACACACACACACACACACACACACACACATGCAATGCAAGCCCATCTCACCATGCTTCTCGGATGACCACCAGCGTCAGCAGCTGCACTCCCAAATGCTCCTCTAATGCGAGCTGGTCGCCCTCGGGAATACTGCACCCAGTAGCACCGCACAGTCACGGGGACAGTGGCGGAGGGTGCGGGAGAGAGGAGGGGGGAAGGTGGGATGGGGAGGACAAGTGAGGTCAAGAAACGAAGACAGTAGAAACGTTTTCAAGTGCTCCTCCAATGCCAGCTGATCGCCCTTGGGAATACTGCTCCCAGCAACACACGCACAGTCAGGGAAGAGGGAGTGGGAGTGGGTGGGAGGGGGGTTGGGGAGGCCAGGTAGGGACACGAAACGAACAGTGGAAATGCACGTGAGAGGTGGAAACTTGTAAGCAGAGCATGCTAAGGGGAGGTGGGACGTGTGATGCGGTAGGACTCCGCGTTTCCAGTCATTTCAGAGAAGGATTCTCACCCCAAGCCCATCTGAAGGGACGGAGGGTGGACTTTTTCCATTTTTGTACGTCGACTTTAAAACTGAATGAGGCGAGTCTCTGCGTTTCCAAAGTTTTCTGGGCTCATCTCATCTCAACCCATGCTCATCTCAAGACGCAAGGGGAGGCTGGCCTTTCCAGCAGTTGCCGTGCTCGGCTCGCTCACCTGGCGGAAGGCGGCCTCCCCAGCAGCTGTACGAGCAGGGAGAGGCTGCCGCAGTTGCAGAGCGTGCGGTGGGCAGAGCGGCTGAGCGCAGAGGCCAGGCGCAGCAGCTGCAGGGAGAGCAGCAGCAGGGGGGACGCTGCCCGGTTGCCCCTGTCCTGCTCCACACGAAATATGTGCAGCAGCTCTGAGGGATACAGGGGTGTGGAAGGGGAAAGGCGGGGAGGGAGAATGGTGGGAGGGAGAAGGGGGAACAAGAGACGCTGCCCGGTTGCCCCTGTCCTGCTCCACACGGAATATGTGCAGCAGCTCTGGGAGATACAGGGGGACGGGGGTTGGGGAAGAGGAGATCGGGGGAAGAGAGTGTTTGAGTCGTCGACTCAAACGTCACCTTGCTGCGATGGCGCAAGGTATGCTGCTCGGTTGCCCTTGCCCTGCTCCACGCGGGCGGAATATGGGCAGCACAGCAGCTGTGGGGGAATGGTAAGCAGGACAAGACTCAAGAGGTATGCATGTACTGCCCGACCCTAGAAAGAGGAGCATACGGAGAAAGACAGAGAAAGAAGAGGCACATACCAAGCAGTGAGTCTATGCCGTGCAGATCCACCAACACTTGACTCATCCGCGCACTCCCCTCCTCCACATCCCCACTCCCATCCCCCCCTCCGCTGCCCCCACTCCCTCCCCCTCTCCCTCCCGCGCCCCCCATCCCTCCCCCCATATGCCCCCCAATCCCCCCCCCAATCGCCGCAAACAAATTCGGGGCAAAGAGATTCGACTGTTCTGCTGAACTAGCTGCTGCCGCCGCCGCTGCTGCTGCTGCTGCCGCTGCTGCTTTTCTCTTAGCAGAGGCCACCACACGAGTCAGCTCTGTGTGGAAAATCCCAACCAGGCACGGCAGCAGATGCACCACCACACTTTGCAGAAACCTCTGCTGTCGCCGCAGCTGCATCAGCAACTCCTGATTACTCGACCCTCCCCCTCCGTCCCCTCCTCCCCCGCTGCCGCTCCCCCTGACCCGCGTGTGGCCGGCGTGGCTTGTCTCATGCGGGTCGGATATCCCTGAGCCGGCTCCCCCCCACGGGGGGGATTGGCGGGAAGAGGAGGCGGAGGGGGGGTGGATAGGGGAGAGGAGCGGGTCCGAGGCGTCGGGGGAAGGGGGGGAGGAGGTATCGGGGGAGGTGGGGCGGGAGTGGCGTTGCCTGCCTGCTGTCGCCATGCCTTGCACTGATTTAAACTGAGCAACTACGTCTGTACAGGGGGCATGGGTTGGGAAGTATCAGGGGCAGGAGGGTGAGGGGGTTCAGGAGTATGCACGGTGGCATGGGGGACAGGGGCACGGGGGAAAGGCGGCCAGAGCAAGGTGAGAGGAGGAGGAAGGGAGGAGGGATACACGACGGCAGGAAGGAAAGAGCGAGAAATCTCGGAAACCGCACAGGGAGGGGAGAGCGGGAGGGGAGGATGGTGGGGGGGGGGGGGGGGGAGGAAGGAGCAAAGAGTGGGCGAAGTGAGTGGGGAAAGGTTGGAGAGACAGGGGAGTGGATGACTGCAGGTTGCTCGGTGTATCTATAAGGAGCATGATGACTGTAGCGCGCACATCAAATCAAACAGCATCGAATCATGACGACTGGCCGCCGGCAAAGATGCGGCACTGGTGCTGTTAAGGCCGATAATAAGCCCTCACCTTTAAATAAAATGGTGAGTGCGACTTTTGAGACGTCTCAAAAGTCGGCGCCGGTGCTGTTAAGGCCAATAACAAGCACGCACCTTTAAATAAAATGGTGAGTGCGGCGTATCCATCATAGAAGGCAAAGACGCGGCGGTTGTGTGCGGAGCGCAGAGCAATTGTGAGCGCACACAGCAGGTTGAGCACAAAGGCCCGGTCCGACAGGTCCTCTGACTCCATCTCTGAGAATAGGTGGGGATGGGGTGACAGGCAGAGGGGGAGAGTGAGTGCAGGGCTTAGGAGTCGACTCATGAGAGACTATCAGATGGTGAGCGCGCACAGCAGGTTGAGCACAAAGGCCCAGTCCGACAGGTACCCTGACTCCATCTCTGGGGAAAGCGAGAGGGGGAGGGTAAGTGTGGGGCTTAGGAGCGCACACAGCAGCGCACACAACAGGGTTAGCACTAGGCTCGGTGCGTCAGGCCCTCAGACTCTATTTCTGGCATGCAGCTGAGGTAGCGCGACCGGCAGAGGGGGAGAGTGAGTGCACACAGTATCAGATGGTGAGTGCGCACAGCAGGTTGAGCATAAAGGCCCGGTCCCTGGCTCTAATTTTGAAAACAGGTGGGAATGGGGGCACACAAAGGTAGTTGATTGGGGATTTTTGAGGCGAACAAAACATCGAGAATGGCGTTTTAGGTTGTGCACACGGCAGGGTTGAGCATGGGAGGGAGGAGCATAAAAGGCATAGTCACACATGCCCAAATCGAAACACCACACACGCCCGAATCAAATCACCACACACACCCGAATCATATCACCACACACACCCAAATCAAATCACCGCACACGCTCAAATCCAATCATATCACCTTACACAGACGGAACGCACCCAGGATGGCAGGAATGGTGTTCTTGATCTCAAACACCATCTGCTGAATCACAGCCGTCGGATGGCCCTGCCCGCACCCCACAATCGTGCCCCTCGCCCCAGCCCCCCCGTCCCCTCCGCCACTAGAGCGGAACCCCAGGCGCATGCGCCCCCCATCCCCCCCCTTGCCGCTGCTGGCCTTGTCCCTCTGGGGAGGCTCGGGTTTCCAGTCCTCGTATATCCGGATAAACGACTCCAGGAAGATTCCGAGAAACCGGAACGAGTCCTGCTCCCGCGGGAAAGGGGGGAGAGGAGGCGGGGGAGCGAGGGGGGGAGATGGTGTGGAAAGAGGGAAGAGGGAGAGAGGGAGAAGAGGAGGGAGAGAGGGAGGAGAGGAGGGATGTGTGGGGGCGTGGGTGTGGCGGAACCGACAAGGCTTTCATGGCCTTGGTTTGAAAGTAGCAGCTCAACACAAGCTGCATCCAAAAAAGGGGTGGAAGTGTGTGTAGCGAATAAGCAGCCTAGCCTCCTCCCTCTCCTTCTCCCAAACACTATTCCCCCCCAAGTCCCTTCCCCTTTATCCGTCCTCCACATATTCTCAACCTTCCCCAATTCTCATCCCCGCCAGTTTCCGCTCTCCTCCCCCTCCTCGCCCCTGCATGCCCCCCCCCCCCCTCTTATCACTCGCGCCATATCACTTTCGTTCTGAGGCGCCTCCAAATCACGTTCATAAGTCTGCTTTTAATGCGGTTTAAAGACGAGCGTACCTGCATGCCCGCCGCCTTGTACTCGCGCCATATCACTTGCAGCTCCCTCTCGTCGTTGTCGTCGTCGCTGCGGCGCAATCATGGGCGGAACGATGGGCGGGACGATGAGGCGCAACGATGAGGCGCGCGGCGAACAATGGGCAATGCGGAACGGAACCGGGAAGAGGGGAGTCGGATGAGAGAGAAGGTGGTAACAGGGGATTGCCAGTTGGCGCAACTTACTTGCTGCAATGGCAGAAAACACACCACTTAGTCAATTCAAAGACAAGGCGCACACCAGAGTAACTAGGCCATCCGGAATTCAGAACAAGCGAGGGCGCGAGGGAGGGAGGGGAAAGGCAAACAGACGGACGAGCTCGTCTAATATCCGTCTGTTCTTCCTCAGGGCAGTGTTACGGCACGGAAGGGAGATGACAATGGATGGCTATGCGGAATCTGCTTAATGATCTCACAAAGGAAACAAACACCCGAGGTAGCACAGGTAGGTACCACAACAAATAGCTCAAGTGACATTCACAAATGATGGCACCCGCAAGCACCACTACCCAGCAGCGACGTGACATATCAAACGCGCGCCGTGCTTTGCCGTATCATGTTGCAGAATAACGCGCAAAGCACGGGGTGCATTTGACATTTCACGGTCTCGCAAAGTTGCGCCGTGGCACGCACTCCGCGTACGGTGGTACGGTGGTGGTGACATCACTAGCGGCACGCTGTGCAATGTCAACGAGCGCCGCGCCAAAGAGTTCGAACCCAGCACACCATACGGTTGACTACATATGTTTTCCCAATCTCCCAGTCGCCGCAACCGGTACGGACTGAAACGCCGTTGACAGTATCCTAGGCGACTGTTGCGTTGCCTCGAAAGAGTATTTCTGGCCGTAACGCGGAAATCCCGGGACTATTACGGCGACTGAATCCCTCTCCCAGGTACCTCATTCCGAACCCCCTAGCACGAAATTCCGAACCCCCTAGCACGAAATTCTAGACTCGAAAGAATAGCCCTGACGTAAAACCACCGCACAAACACACAAGACACAAGCGCTATAAGGAAGCATCCCATTCCCATCATCGTATAACCAGCCATGAGTGCTTTTGTTTTCGTTTTCTTTCTTTCCAAGGAAACCGCTTCTTCCCCCTACCTGAACTGTATTTCCGCCCATCGAGCCACAGGCGCGGGCGGGGTGGCGGAAGCAGGGGACCCGGACGCGGCGGTGGGCGCGGAAGACGAGTTGTCCTGCGCGCTCTCCTGCGGCGTAGCCGCGCCTCCCCCCCAAGAGGTGCGGAACAGGTTCATTGTAACAGGAGGGCAACTCCCAGCTTCATGCGGATATGTTCGTAACGAATCATGCGGCCTCCAACCAGTAACGCGATCGGAAGAATCGGGTCACCACAGATCAGATAACGGTTCGCGTTTCGTGTGGACCGTCGATTCTCGATTCGTCAGACGGCTAGAGGCCCCACGAGACGCGGGACTCCCTAGCGAGCGTCGCTAATGTAGCCGGAGATGCGGGTGAAACCCTAAGCAAATGCAGCTGCTTCTATCGACAAGTTCCTCCTACCCTAATCTGTACTGCCGACCGTTTCTGGTAGTGATCTTCAGAAAGACGCACGCGGTGATAAAATGAGAATCAGCGCGATAGCGCTCGTGATCTGCTATGTCGTTGTGACGATACGTTTGGCCATTGCTGCCAGGCTGGCAAGTTCATGACGTGCTATGCAGGATGTGTCTCAGCGGCGCCGAAGCGATGATGGTTTTTGAAGGCTGTGGATGGAGGAATGAAAATGCTGCTCCTAGGTGTTTCAACCAAGCACGAAAACACTGGGACGAAGTAGCCGTGGAGACTGAGGAGTTTTATTTGAGACAGATTCTGCTGGGTCGAAAACCTAAGGTGCAACTAAAAAGGACACTAACTGCAAGAGGCTGCGAGATTAGCTCCCTCAGGCTAGGCTCCTATGCCATCCGAAGGTGAAGGGAACACACATTTCAAAAAGAGTCCCATCACTGATGATGGTGCGCTCAAAGCGGAGCAGCAGGGAGGGGAGATTCGAGAAGATATGGGGGAGAGGAGGAATGAAGAAATGTAGGATATTCGTTGGAAGTTCGTCTATTCTAGAACACTCCACGTTCAGAGTTCTGCAGTGCCTTTTGGTGTCAATACGGCACTAAGTTCTACTGTAATTTCTCCAGGCTTTCTTTTACGCAAAATAACACCTCACACGAAAGTTTTATAGGAAACCCAGCTGTGGTGGGAGAACTGCCGTGGCGGAGATCTCGAGGGTGATGACCTGACGGTGGCACTCTCAAGAGGCTGGCGGAGGCGGGCGCAGACCAGCAGCGCTTCAGGCAGAGCGAAGAACCTTGGGTGACGGAAAACTTTCCGCCTGACCAGGAACCGATGAGGACGACTGCAAGTTCACGAACAACAGTCTATTCCGACGCCAAAACCTTTTCGGACAGCACGTTTTCAAGCCACGCTATCGAAACCCGCCCAAACCTCGGTGGCGAGTGTGTTTTCTCCTCATGGAAGGGCGTGGTTGGGTGTTGCTTGACTAAAAACGTGCTGCTTGGGGAAGTAAATTCCCACACCCAGGTCAAATTTTCCCTTCGCTACGATCACATGCACTGGGCATCCAGCTGTGTTGTGTGGCCTCGTGACGTGGCTCCGCTCACAAGTCGTCAAATCCATCTCTCCCGTCACTTGCTGCGCTGCTGACTTCCCGCACGCAAAGATTCCGGGCCCTGCGATTCGAGAAACACTTAAGATAGCTCGATATAGATGTCACATCACTCATGCGACTTGCATCGGGCATGAGCGCTGTAGGACCAGATCCTTGACAAAGTTCAATCCAAACCTATATCAATATTTCACAATAAAGGTCCTCTTGTCCTATAACCTAACAAATAACTGCACATTCACAACAGTGTCCATATCCAACACTTCCATGTTCTAGTGTCAAAATTGGTGCTCATCGTTACAATGAGCTTGCCCTCGGGGAAAATGGGCGATATACACGAGATGACATATCATACTAGTGGTATCACTTCGGCAATAGCGTGTGATACACCAGCCATGGAGCCATCAAGCGCCGACCAGATTTCAATTGATGTATCGACGAGCGAGCCACCAGCGCTGAATGGGAACAGTTGCGCTACAGCCGTCGAAGCAGGTCCCGAGGCTGTCCCAGCCGCGGCTGCAGCTTCTGCTGCTGCCGTTGCAGTTGCCGCTCCCGACGACATCACAGCAGCCGACACTGCCGCTGCCGTGGCTTCTGCTCCAGCATCTACCACAGCAGCAGAAGCAGAGACGTCAGCTGCAGCCCAGCCAAGAACAGCACCACCATCAGCACCAAGTGCCTGCACCAGCGACAACGACTCCAACGCCAGTACCGAATCCACGGCTCCTGAAAGCTCAGCTGCAACAGCCGCCGTTGCAGCAGCGGCCGACGCACCCACTTCCAAAACTGCCTCCATTTCTGCTTCCAGTCCTGTCAGCACAACCGAAGACTCCTGGGCTACCCCCTGAAACACCTCCTTCGGAATCTCCTCAACGATTCTGGGAAGGTTCTCGGCGACAGTCGGAAGCGTCTCAGCAACTTGCGGGATACCCTCAGCAACAACCTCTGGCAGGATCAGCTCTTCCGCCAGGGCGAGCTCTTCAAAGGAGACCAGCGCTGGGTCTAGAGCCAACAGCTGTTCAGTAGCCAGGGTAAGGTGCTCTCCCAACGACGCTGATTGCTCTCCTAGCACTTGTTCCCCAAGCATCTGCTCTCCAAACAACTGTTCCCCGATGATTTGTTCGCCCAGCATCTGCCCCCCCATGGCCTTCTCAGCCATGCCAGCAGCAGCAGCAGCACCCAGTTCCGCCTCTGCCTCCACAGCCTGCATTGCCCCTGCTGCAGCCATGGCCGCTGCCCCCGACCCATCCCCTGCTGCTGCCGATGACGACGACAACGAGGAGGATGATGACGATTGTGCTGATGATGATGGTGATGCTGAGACAGAGCAGTTGGGAGAGGCATCTGATACAGTAGAGGGTGCGGCGGATGCCTGCGCTTTGGCAGCTGCAGAATGAGGGGTGTCTGTCGAGGCAGGGGTTGTGGTTGATGGGGCAGACGAGGGGGAGGTGGTCAAAGTGGTGCTGGCGGTGGTGGTGGAAGACGATCCTGTGCTGCTAGAACCGGGACTGGAGGGACTCCCAGGACCAGCAGGACTGCCAGTTGTAGCAGCAGGAGCAGGGATAGCAGGAACGGGAGTGGCTGTAGTGGGGTTGGATGGTGATCCGGGGCCTGGTGATGCTGCAGTGATGGTGGAGAGAGGCGCAGCAGTGGGCGAGAGGGCGGAGGGAGACGAGACAGCAGAGCCAGTGCTAAAGGCTGCAGAAGCGGCCACGCCGGCTGAAGACGCTGAAGGGTCAATCCCTCCTGTTGGCACACTGCCGCTGCTGTTACCACTGCTGCTGCTGCTGCCACTGCTGCCGGCATTGCTGCTGGCGTTGCTGCTGCTGCCGGTGCTGGTGGCTGGCGTTCCTGTGGCTCCCACTGTATTGTTGAGAGCAGGTAATCCAGAAGAGGTAGTGGTGGCGGCGGTGGTGGTGGTAGCAGAGGCAACGGTGGTGCTCGTGGTGGCGCTGCTACCAGAGGTAGCAGACGCTGAGGAGGAATTGACAGTGGACGGGGGAATGGAAGAGGGAGAGGTAGGGGAAGGACTGGAAGAGGTAGAGGACTGGGAAGTGGGAATGGTGGAGGGGGAGAGGGAGGAGGCAGACGATGTTGTGAGGTTGGATGCGGTGGGGGTGGGTGTTGTAGGGGTGGTTGCAGCAACGGAAGCAGGGTTGGTGGTTGTGGGGATGGTTGAAGCAGAAGCAAGGGGAAGTGCCATAGCCGCATTGCTGCTGCTGCTGCTGCTGCCACTGCTGTCGCTGCTGCTATTGACACCGCTTTTACCACTGCTGTCAGCCACGTCACCACTGCCATTCTTACTATTGCTGCTGCTGCTGTTGCCAGCAGTGGAGGAAGGAGGAGAGGCGGAGAGTGGCTGGGTTGATTGCAGTGACCAAGTCGTGGGGACGGCAGGGGCAGCGGATGAGCACGGAGCAGCAAGGCAGGGAGCAGAAGGGGCGGCAGCGGAGGGAGTAGAGGAGGGAGAAGAGGAGAGGACAGGGGAGGATAAGGAAACGGTGGGGGTGAGGGGAGAGGGGGAGGAGAGGAAGGAAAGGGGAGGGGAGGAGGAGTTTTGAGCCGAGGTATACACTAGAGGAGTGGTAGTGTGGACGGTGGTGGTGCTGATGGTGGTGCTGGTGGTGCTCGTGGTGGTGGCATAGGTTGAGGCTCCGAGAAGCGGAGAGAGAGAGGGGATGGACAAGGAGGAGAGCGAGAAGGACGGGGAAGGAAGCGAGGGAGGCAGCAGCGACGGCAGGGGCACGGAGGGGAGAGTCGGGACGGAGGGTAGGGACGGGAGAGAAGGGAAGGACGGCGGGAGGGAGAAGTTCGGAGTGGGGAACGGAGGGAGGGAGAGCGAAGGGAGGGAGAGTGAGGGGAGGGAGAGCGATGGGAGGGAGATGACGAGCGTCTTGTGAACACCGAGGCCCAGGTTGACTTGAAGCTCCACCAGCACTCGCTTCGCCTGCACGGCATAGCACGGATACTTGAGCTGCGACGTCACCAGCGCAACAGATATCTGCTCCCTCATCTGCCCGCTGCTACCGCTGCTGCTGTTCTCTCCGCCGCTTCCCACATCCTCCCCAGGCTCACTCGCGCCCACGTCCCGTCCTTTTTTCTCCCCAACCTTCCCCATCTCAACCTCTCCAACCTTTCCCATCGTCCGAGGTCCTGCTTCCGCCCCTTCTCCCGTTTCCGCCCTCTCCGCGCTTTCCGCCCATTCCATTCTCTCCGCCTGCTGCGCGGCTTCCGCGTCGCCCAGCACCCGCCATCGAATGCGCCCGTTCGCCAATGCACCCGCTCGCCGCTGTTCCCCGCCCTTTGCAACTGCTGCCTGTGCGACCGCAGCCTCTGCGCCACCTGCCTGTGCCACCGCAAGTCCCTCCCTCCTCCGCCTCTCCTCGTCCCTCTCCCGTTCCTTCTCCCTCTCCCCTTCCACCAGCAGCCAATGCGCAAGCGCGCTCACCCCCACAATCATCGCTCCCCCCGTTGCCACTGAAACCCCAGGCGCCTCGCCTCTCACCGCAAACGATAACAGAGCGCCCCAAACGGGTATAGAAGTGTACACCAGCATAGCGATAGACGCCGGAACGCGCCTTAATCCGCATAGTTCCAACCACACGCACAGCCCCGAGCCTACCGCGCCTCCGTACACCAGCGGAAGCCACGGGATGGCTTTAATCTCCTCCGCGAGCCGCAATACGCCATCGACACCGCCGCCTGCCACGTGTATGGCTTCCCAGCCGAGCCCGAGCAGCGCGAGCGACCCGGCCTGGACCGCGGAGAGGCGCAGCGGGTCGAAGCGCGTGGTGAGCGCTTCGGAGCGGAAGATCTGCACGGCGGCGAGGAGCGACCCGAGGATCGAGCTCAGGTCGAAGCTTTGCGAAAGGGAGAATGCGCCGGAGTCGGCTCCGCTGCCGGGGAGGAGGAGGAGGAGAGAGTGCGCGTGGTGGTACTCTCCCAGTAGGCCCATGCCGAGTAATGCGGCGACGACAGCGAGGAGTGTGGAGCGGTGGAGCGCGCGCCCGGACGAGAGCTCCATCAGCGGGAGGAAACAGATCTGCGCGCGCGGGGAAAAGGGAGGATGGGGAGGGGAAGCAAAAGGGGAAGGGAGGGGGCGGAAACGCGATGGGCAGAATATCAGGTGGAGAGATTCGAGGCGAGATGGCCGAGAGGCAGGAACTGCCGGAGAGGTTCTGCAGGGAATATCAGGTGGCAGACAGTCATGCCCGAGAGAGAACTGCAGGGAATGACTTACGGAGAAGGCGTAGAGCAGAGCGGCCGTGGTGCCGTTGGTGTTGCTGGCGTGTTGCAGCAGCAGCGTGCCCAGGAAACTCCATCCCGCCAGCTCCATGCCCCCAAGTATCACCCCTTCCTCCCGCCACCACTCGCCTTCCCACCTGTTGCTCGTCCCCTCCAGCCACCCCTCTTCCGCGCGCCCTTCCTTCCCGCGCACCCTCCTCTCGTCTGCCACTGCTCCGCCTGCAGCAGGGTTCCCCGCTCCAGCTCCGCCGTTACGCGGAACCCCCGCCGTTTCCTCGCAGTCAGTGCGCGGGGGTTTCCGCGCGTTCCGCTCCGACAGGATGGCGAAGATGACGGGGGAGAAGACGACGGCCGCCGCGGTGAACCTGACGGCGGCCGTCAGAGATGACGGCAACGACACCGGCTGGTCGTCAACGAGCTTGGCGGCAACGGTGCTCGTTCCATAAAGCGCTGCGAGCACGTTCAGCAGGAAAACCCCTGCCGCCGCACTTCCCGCCGCAGCTGCCGCCGTGGCCCCCCATTCCCCCAACAGCTTCCGCCACCAGCCCCGCCATTGCGCCATCTCCCCGCGCCATTCCCCCAAACGCCCCCGCCACACCCCTGCCCCGCGTCCCTGGACTGCCACGTGGGTTGAATCAGACGCGCCGAATTGCGACCAATCCCAATGCTGGTAGTCCAACGAGTCATCCCCTCTGCCCCTACTTCCGACCGTTTGAGCGCTCACGACATTCGGGCCGCCGCGTATCCCGAGTTTCACACCGACCAGCAACGGCCACCACCATAGCGAACCGATCGCAAGCGCGGCTCGGCGGTTCCCTGCTGAATCGTGAGAGGCGGCAGCGGCGAAGCCGGCGCCAGAAGACGGGGAAACGACCGGCCTGGCGCCGTCAAACCCGATCATACCAGCCAGCACATCGAAACCGTTCAAAGGGGCGGTGGTCGAATCGGAATCGTCGGCCCAAGCATTCCAGCCGTCGGATGTGTCGGCGACGACGGCTTTCCAGATCAGCGCTTCGACGGCCGTGCTGCTGCTGGGCGACCACCCGCCGCGATCCCCGCCGCTCACTCCTGCTCTACCCTCGATAGGCATACCCCACTGGCAGTCACCGCTACTGCTGATAGTAGCCGCGTCGCCACTGAGCACTGTACCATGCTTGACAACGTTGCTGATTCTGCGCGAAGTCCGCTTGCCCCTTGCCGCGGGGCCTCCCCCTCCCCCTCCCCCTCCCCCCCCGCCTCCGCCTCCCCCCACACCTCCTGCGCCAACGGCGGAAGGTACGAAGCTTTTTTCTTCGTGTGCGGGAGCAGCCGGGGATGCTGTAGGGGCTGCGACTTGGCTGCGGCGCGAAACTCCTGTTCTCCGGGATCTACGGCTGGGAGGCTCCAGAGCTTGGGATCCGACGGCAGGGAAGGCACGACGGCGTGTGGAGCGGCGTGGGGTGCGCGTGAAGGAAGAGGTTCCGGGAGATTGAGAGCCTCTACGAAACGGAGACGACGACCCAGGCGCTGGCGTTGACGCTGACGTTGACGCGAAAGATGACGCTGACGCTGCTACCGGCGACACCGACATAACGCGGCTGAGCTTCCTTCCATGATTGCTATCCAGTAGAGCGCGGTCACGGTTGGGATCAAGTCCAAAAACTCTCAGACCGCCGTGGCGCTGTTGGTGGAAAAGTGGAAATCGTCTCAAATTCGGTGATCCTACCAGGTGAATTCCAAGTTGCCGCTGCGGCAGCAGATCCCGAGTGTTTCTCAGCTCATATGTTGAGCCAAATCCGCGGTTTCTTCTGGGGAACCGTATTGTGACAAGAGCGGTTGACGAGAGGCGTTGCAGGGACGGCTGAAGGGGACCTGTACGGCCGGTGCTTAGTGGTTGCTGGTGGAGCGGTAGGGACGAGGTTTGCAGAACAGTGACCGCTGGAACCTGGCGCGTGGCGTGCATTGTTGCGGTAATAGCAGCGTGCATCTCGAGAGGCTTAGTTGGGACGCGTTTATCTGTTCATAACTCAGAGTCTCATAACGACAAGTTGGCTATTCCTCAAGCATCTTCTGTACTAATGGCTGCTTCGATGTGTGATTTTCTCGCAGCGGTTGCGACAGAGCGTTCTGCTGAATTCACCTCCGCATAGTTAAATCCGGCACTGGATAACTAGACAGGTGTCTGGTTAGCGAGGGTCGGGAGTCTACAATTGGGAGTCGAGGCTGGGAGGCAGTTGAGGGCGTTGACTGAGATGAAATGAATCATATAGATGTCTAGGAAGCCGACGAATAATATGTAGTACTTTGAGAGGACCTCTACCCAGGAGACGGCTGAGGCGAGAAGCTGATGCACGCATTTTGGGTGCTCATGTGTTTGCACAAGCTCATGAGTAGTTAGGGACGTGACATTTCTATGATGGATGTAGTGTTATCAGACTAACAAGTGCTTGCTCGCGATACGCGACCCGAAGCTGATGTACAGAATGGCGAGCAGCTGAGGCGGCAGAACGGCGAGACACGAAACAAACACAGATTCCTTGCTGCCTGTCGTACTACTAACAGATTCCTTGCTGCCTGTCGACCACATCAATGGGAGTGACGCAGGGTGAATGGATTCGACCGTCATTACCGTGGGATTGCCGACAAGCAAACAGCAGCAGCAGCTAGGCGAGCAGCTTCAATTCGGAATTTCATCATCCAATTTTTGCCGCAGCAGCAGCAGGTGGGATTTCGCGCAGCTGAGATTCACACCCATCCCCGCCAAACCGCAGACCTGACGTCAGCCTCTGATCGCCTCGCTTTCCAATCAGGATCAAGGAGCTCGCCGCCGAAAGTGGTGATTCTGAAACAGAGGGCTTGTACAGTACAGCACATGCAGCCATGAGTTTGTCAGAGGTTTGGACTTCTCGGGCAACAGAAAAGGTTTCAAACAGCTGTTGGGGCACGCACATGCGGCTGCCCTTTCTTGCGTTGGAATCGGGAGTCAGGAATCTACGGTGGATGTTATTCGACCAGGGTGAATGGAACGTCGTCAAGGTCGAGAATGGCAGGTATGGTCCACACGAACAAAGACTTGGTGGCCACGTGGTAACAACATTCCTTGCCGACTGGAGTTCCTCACCTCAAATGACATGGCGGTGACGCCACAGAGGTGACGGCATGGCTTTACGGCTTTACACTTGGGCGCCGCTTCTACTGTTTGGGGACGCTGCGCTGAGAGAACCACGTGCTCAAAAATCGTCTGCTCATCTCATCGAGACATCCAATCAGCTGGGTTTCACGATTTGTTCTAACTCGCCGCAATTCCCGCAACACGGAATCACGACCCAGTGCGCGCAATCACAGCCTTAGTTTCCGGTCGGATCCTTAATACGCCCTTTGAACAAGAGCCGCTACTTCACATAGACAAGTCCTTCAGAATAATGGAGGACTAGGTAATACAGAGAAGTAGTTGTAATACCGTATATTAAAAAAAATCATCACAATGTTCTTATCATAAGCGAAGTTTATATATTTCCTGAAATTTTTATGATACAAAGCTCTATTAGCGTACTTCTATAATGATATATTAGTATTCTGGTATGCAGTTAGGAAAGAGAATTAGTATGTCATGCTTATCCTCATAAGAAAACCAGTGCTTACAGTATTCATCGGTTTGGGCTTGTCATTTTATGAGGAGGGAGCCACTCTAAATGAAGCTCATAGCTGTTGGAATGTACTGAAATAATAACTCGTGCTGAATAGCTCATCCGACAGAGTTCCGGCGGCCCAATTTGTCAGGGACGACGGACGAGGTCGACGGGCCCAGCACCGCCGAGGCGGGGAACTGCCGCGCGTGCCTGCCCGCCAGGCTGGCCCAGGGCTGGGCCGAGCGCACGCCCGCCGCCCCTCAACCCCCCTGCGTAATTGAACAGCACCCCACGTTACCGGGTGGGGGCGGCGAACCCGCTTCACCTCGCGCGAGGGGAAGTAACCCTAGGGCGAAGGCAGCCCTCAGCGTGGCCCTGCCCTCGACGACCTAGTAACCCTCTCGCGCTGCCCCTACGGGAAGGCGAGGGCCCGGTGAAATACTGATGCTCCCCTCGGGACCCTCGGCCAATTCGCGACCCGCTGGCGTGTGGACACGTGTCTGCCCATAGACGACGCTGCATGCCAGGCACTTGTGACGCTGCATGCGACCAGACCCTACGCCTACCCACGCGAGTGGACGTGATGGGGCCGATGTGGCCCGGCGTCCGACGAGCATGTGATTGGACGAGGTTGATGCTCATCGTGCCGAACCACTTCGGCCTCCGGGCCGGTTTTGGCCACCGCCTTGGTCTGCGTCCGTCGTGCCTTATCTTTGTGGACGGAGTGACCGACGCCTCATTTTGCTCTTCTCATTTCACCTTTCACATTTCTCACCTCTGCGCCTTCCTCCGTCCTGCTGCTGCTAGATAGCCTGTAGTGTCGTGCCTTTGGTCGCCGGTAGTGTCGTGCCTTTGCAATCATGGAGTTGGATAGTGGCGCCGCTCACCCGACGCCGGGCGCCGCAACGCCGACGCCGTCCTCGGCGGACTTCCCCCTGTACTTCAACATGGACCGTGGCCTCACCTTCTCTTTCAACGAGAAGGACTTCGCCGTGCTGCGCGCCACGAAAAAAATACTTCAACGAGCATTGCTTCGCACTCGCGCTCAAGTGAGTCCCTTCTTCAGTCAAGGCGGAACCCTTGTCCACTTTTTCTTTCCGTCGACTTAGTAGCTCTTTTTTAACCCGCCGCCCCGCCGACCTAGACGATGTTATTCGTTAGAACGAGTTACTAATCCGGCGTGCGAGTTAGCGACGGTGTCCATGTCTATTTCCCGCCGACCTAGTAACTTCACTGTTCCGCCGACTTAGTACAGCATGATATAGCTCAGCCGACGAATTCCCCCGGCCATTTTCGCCGCATAGAACCGGCGGTCATTTTTTATCCCGACGACCTATAGGATGTTATTATTTGGAGCGCGTTACTAATTCGACGTGCGAGTAAGCGACGACGTCCGTGTCTCTTTTTCCCGCCGACCTAGTAACCTCATTATTCCGCTGACTTAGTAACTACAGGCCGACTCAACGTTGCAGAATTAGTTTCTACCGGTCGATAGGATTTCGGTCAACGAAAGGTTTTCACGCCTAGGTTTGTTGTGAGCGCGTCCATGTCGGCGTTCAAGGCCGCTATCCTATCTACTTTCGTCGGCAACGAGTTCGCAATCCTGAACCGATGCCACATGTCCCCACGAGTTCGTTGACTACAGGTACATGTGGATTCGCGAAGCTCCGATGGACTTGAAGCCGTGGATCATAGGGTGCAGCCGTCTTCGCGAGGCGATTAAGAAGAAAAACCTCACCTGTTTTGAGTCGGTATTCGACGCCGACATTGCCATGCTACCTACAATCACGACGTGAGAAAGTGCGATGTTGCGTTGTTGTTGAGGTCATGTTGGACTTCGATGTTTTATATCAGCGTCACATGGTTCATGTGCAGGATCGGGCCGCTTCCCGGGGTCCAATGCAGCGTCGTCGTGGTTCTTCGGCCCGGCGACTTGCTGAAGGTCGTCGACGTC